GTGGGACATCTTCACCACCAGTGTTTTACCCCTGCTTCAACAACAAGGCCTTGACAAAGATGCCTGTTCCTCTCTAACGATGGTAGGTTCCGTTTGTTCTCACTTTTGTTTCAGGAAATTCAGTGCTGTACTTTTAAAATTTGATATATCAAGAGAATTCAGAAATTCGTGTAGCATTTTAAATAGATATAGGACTATGTGGGGAGAGATATGGTCATCTTAGAGCTGGGAAATGATAAGCACCTAAAAGCAAAAGGAGATTGTGTGGCAAATTTTAATAATGTTTTTGGAATTCTTCTATACATCCATACATTGTAACTATAGAATTCTTGACCCATTGGTCATAAAAATGATGCTTAGATGATTCCTAATATTGTAAATCTATACAAAGAAAGAGTGCCTAGGCTAGGCATGTAGCCTAGTAAGGTATGTTTACATGTATGTGAAAGCCCTACCTTCCATCTCCAGCACTGGGTGGGAGAGGTGGGAAGAATGCCATATACGGCATAGAAACCTCAAACATTTAAATATATCTTTTATTTGCCTCTGTTTAAAAAAATAAACTTCATGTGAAAATTACAATAATAGGAATACACAATAAATAGTAAATACTGTAGGAATATTCTGATTTCCTATTTTATTCTCCTAAGATCTTGAAATGATCCCTTTGTGGGAGCGACATGACACTGTAAATTGTATAATAACAACCTTCATTAGCATGTTTTCTGATTTTAAAGGTACTTTTCTGAGGTTTGTTCTTCATGGTGAATTGGAAGAAGATGAAGAATATTATTTTACATATTAAGATAAAAAAAAACCCATGAGTAAATGATGAGGTAGTATCCAATATAGGCATGAAAAAGGGAGAAATAAATAGCATATTCTTATTCAGTACTGTGTCATGATACCTATTCACAGCAGTGGCTAGCAACATTGTAAGTTCTTCACTGCTTAGTACAATTAGCCCATTCAACTAAGTAGTTATTCTTAATAACCCCTCTTTGTAGATGAATAAGGCTTAGGGAGGTCATGGAATGTTACTCATACAAAAGGTTACATTAAAAATTAGGACTCAAACTCATGTCTGAAAGACTATAATCTTTATGAAAATTTATCTCTAGAGCCAATAAGTATGTATAGCATTTGATGGCAGAAAAAGGGAGAATTTTTTTGGTAAGCGACCATGTCTTTAACACTTGTGTTGCAAGCAGAAGGCAAAGGCATGGCTGACCTTATGTTCTTGCTTTGCCTGCACTCTGACGTTGCTCTGTACCTAAACAACTTGTAGCTTCAGAATATTTACATACATGAATTAACGGTTGTTCACATGTCAGTAAAAACCCTATACCTAAACTCCTTGGCGTTTAAGTACATTTAAATACTTATCTATAATTTTAGAGCAAAACCCTTTACTTAAACTCTTGAGAATTTCTGTATACTTACACACAGTTATAACATCTATGCCAGTAAACTAAGTATAGAAAAATTGTTCCACCCTTTTTTTCTGCTAAAAGCATTGCCTATTTTATCAATTCTTCTTCTAGTAAGATTTCTAGTACTTATGCAGCTTAGAGTTTTTGAATGGCTGTACAGGTTGTCTTTTAAGGTACACTTAGTTGACTGTCTAGCCATATGCAATGAGATTCAAACTTAAGGTAGAGTAGATTTGTTGCATGTCCCATTCTTTCCAATACACAAGAGCTGAGGATTTAAAGCCAAGAAAAGGTGAAGATGGGAAACAAAAACAGTTGTCTAAAACCAAGCACATTATCAGAAGCTGCAAGAATAGATGCTACTTGCAATCCAAATGAAAGCTTGAACAGGAAAGTTTGGTACCTTCTCAAACCACTTAGCTTTCCTTCATAAAAACAATGACTTGAGTGTGCAAGTGTATCTCCCTGGGTAAGTTCTTTGTGAAGCACAGTATCTGAGGAATCATTTTGTTTAAGTTCTCAACCTTTCCAAGCCCACATGGATCAAGAATTTATCATAAGATTTGTGTTCCCTTGTCCGTCCATCTTACACTTTCTACTGAACTGTTTGCAGCTTTCAGACTTGGTCTATACACTGGCTTTCTCTTGTGGCTTCTGTAGAAAGGTATGCAGAACTTAAACATTAACCCTAATTACTTTGTTCTCCCAATGTTTTCACTGAGTCAAGAAGTCTTCATTTTTTAGGGAAAAAATCATATGGCCCTTGTATTGTTGTCTTTTTTGTTGTTTTTGTGTAATGCTTTTCAGTTTTTGCATGACTCATTTTGGCTTTTCTCATGTTCTGTTTATTGCATTCTTTAAGTTCATCAGAAGTTCAGTTATTGAGGTGCCTCTGATGACTGTCTCTTCTAGGAACATGTCTCAGGAGCTTTGTCACACCTGTCCATTGGGGAAGCCCCGGCTACACCACAACCTTCTATGTCCTCAGAAGAAAGAAAGGAGCGGTGGGAACAGGGCCAGGCTGATTACATGGGAGCAGATTCTTTTGATAACATCAAGAGAAAACTTGACACTTACCTACAATAGAAGCACTGCCATTTCCCTGTGGACACATCCACGTCTTAGGCACATTTCTGATACTTATAGTATGTGAAGCTGGTTGAAAAGTCTGTTACATTTGTTAGAGGCTTTCACTATACCTCACCAGATGAGGATTTGGGCAGGACAGAAGATGAGAACTGGTCAGATGTTATGAATTAGTAATTCTGTTTTATGGAAAAGTGCTGTTTTAACCCTAGACTTTTCCTAGAAATTCGTAATTCTTCAGTTGCCAACATATATTGTAAAGGAAAGCCAACATTAAATTACTAAGATGGTTCTCAAGTGGTGCAGAACTTGACTCTCCATCTATCTCACTTCAAAACAAGATATGACATTGTTCTATATTTGCTTGTTGTACCCTTCACTAGACCTGCAATTTAGAACTGCCCAAAGCTTGTCAGAGAGTTAATTCCATTTCCAGGCTAAAACAGCCTTTATTAACACAGTGGAGTGATTTATAAGCCTACCAGCTAGTTGTTAGCTCACTAGTTTCCTATGCACCATGAAGACAGCATGCAGACTTTTTTTCATTTCTGTCTACTTGAAAATTGCAGTGTGCTCTCTCTGATGGCTAACTGTGGTAATACCATATATAATAAATAAAGACTTATTGACATATCTTGACTGTTTAAGTACTTCTCTACCTCATTCTTGGAAAAAAATCATTCAGTAATTTCTCAAAATTTGTGCAACTGGTCAGTTTCAAAAATACAAACCTTCACACTGGTATATGCTTTTAAAATTATCTAAGACATCTAAATCTAGTCTCCTATGATTGCAACAGATCTGATCAATATAGAAAAATTACATCCTCGGTGAGTATTCAGAGAGTTTGACTCTTGAAACCTTAAATTATCAGGCCACGCCAGTAATTAGCATACTCGTATCTCTCAGAACTATCTGACTCTGTGGTGGAACAATGATCTCTAGTTTTATAAAAACAAAACAAAAACCAAATTTAAGTTTGTTAAGACTTCTTGGTGCCTGAATCTGTGCATTTATTCAGTCACCCTAGAGCAATGACCCATAGCACCAAGAGGGTGTAGGCTGCAGTGGGTTGTAAGGTATGAAGAGTGGGATCTAAAACAATCTTTTATAACTAAAACAAGGTATCACAAATAATTCAGCTGAAGAAAATAAAGAACACAAATGGGAAAAACAAGATTTAATTGAAAAAAGCTGTAACCGCTTTTATGCCCTCACTTTTATGGTTGCCATCTTCTTTTCTGTAATATCCTATAGATATATCTGAGTCATTCCTATTCTGTATGGCTGAATGAATATACAAGGGTTTGGATACCTAAAGACAATGACTAGGAAGCAACTCAGAGGCTAGTAATACGAACTCCTTAACGTACTCACTTAAATTATAGTAGTGATAAAATATCTTCAGACACTTGGGCTGGTAGACAATGAGTTGCTATGATCTTCAAGTACAAGAAACATTTACCAAAAGGACTGAAGTGGCTGTGCCACTGGTCAGATCATATAATGGAATCACAAACCTCGTCTAGTTAATTTGGCAAAGTCATATGCTTTTTCCTTTTTGGCTTCTGAGTCTGCTAGAGATAAACAGAACTGCACCTCATTTTTGTGTCTAAGCAAGCGTGTCTATAAAGTGTATAGGAAACAGTATGATTGGAAATATTTTAATTTAGATTTACAAACATCAAATTCTGTGAAATCAAGCACTGAATTTGTTTGTTCTCTATTTTTAATACAGCATAAGTTAAGCTTTAAGGTGAAAAAGCTTGTATAATGTTTAGATTTTACATAACAGGTATTTAGTGAAGTCTGTTGACATTATTGGAGTTAGAAGCAGTACATAGCACAGTGTATAAAGGTGTATCAAGTCATGTGGATACAGTATCACGAAGTAGCCTACCATTTCTTTGGCAGGTTTCATCTTTCATAACCTTCATCTTTCAAAGATCCCTTAATTAAACCTTACTGAAAAAAATCTTACAAAATTGTTTTCAAGCAGCTCAAACTTCAAAATACCCACAAACCCCTGAAAGTTTGTAATAAGATGTATAAAAGAGGTAGTAACTCAAATTATAGGGTGGTGGACATTTATGGAAATAATGAATATGCTCTTACATTTCTATCCCCTTATAAACAATATATTCACTGTTAATAAACTAAGTAGGACTATTTCTAATCATAAAATATAATTTTTAAGTAAAAACTAATTTAGTTATATTTTAACTCCCATTGTTCTTAAATTGAAATTAAGTAGAACTCAGTATTTCAGATCAATTTATTTTATATAAACCTCAAACGTACACTAAGATCTGAATGAGAACTTCAGTAGTTGTACAAAACTTAAATGTGAATGAGTAAAATTCAATAACTACTTTTTAAAGTGAATCAATGACAAAATGTGCAACAAACATCTTTATAAAAGTGAAACATTTTTTTTCTGTGAAAAAGAAAATAGTCACTAAATGATAACACCAAAGAAAGTAATTTTTTAGCTTTTTATTGATTTTAAATTTAAAGAAAAATCCAGTTTGAAACACAACTAGAAATACAATATTTTCAATATATTTCTAAGTAATAAAACAGCATAGCATAAAATTTTTCATTCCGGTGGTTTATATATCTTGAATTAACTTTTATTAACACCACTTAATATACTAAGAAAAACTGCTTGATAAATTTTATTGTTATGCATATATTTTGAAGCACAATAATGTATGTAGTTTTCTGGGTAAGCAGCACATTGCCTTCACTTCTGTGCCTGAGTTTATCTGTAATTAAAATAGGTAAGCTGGGTTATAAGTAGGCTGGGTTTCTTTCTTGTTGGGCCAGAAACAGTTTATACTTAATTTCACTGTGTGGGTACTACAGAACCTTAATCCTGTATGTCATGACACGGGATGGCTAGTCCTACAAGGTAGAAAATCTCCCAAGGGACTCCTAACCTTAGCAGGCCAGTCTCCATTATTCCACTTTCACCCCTGCAGAAGTGTCTTTCCTAAAACCATGCCTGCCTCACCTGTTCCTCTAAGGAATGGTACCAAGAAGATTCTTGCTCATTAATCCTGTTCCTTTGGAGAAATAAAAGGTTGGAGATGACTGAGGGGGTACAATATATGGCATACACCTTAGACCGGTACATATCTCTTCAGTCAAGTCTCTGGTAGCATAAATAAAATCTCAGATGTTCTTCAGTCTGTACCATAAGCCATGAGGCTTTCCTTAGTAATCTCTTACCTGGATTTAAAGAAAAAATCCACAGGAAAATAAAACTACTAACTACAGAACCTGACTGCTTATTTATTCTAAATATGACTCAAAGTCATCTATAATTTTGTGGTAACTAGTAAGTTTTCTTATTAACAAAAACAGGGTAAGAAAAATGTATGGATCAATTAGTGAAATTCCAAAATTGAATTCTGATTTTAAACACACAAAGGCATTTTTACATTCAGGATTAAGATGTCTTTCACCCTCCCTGGGGAGCAGAAAAGGAATGGGATAGGGGGTTGGTGAGGGGCAGGGGAGGAGGGGAGGGAGAGGGAACTGGGATTGACATGTAAAACAAGCTTGTTTCTAATTTAAATTAAAAAAAGGAAAAGAAATAAATGTTGAAAGACTTTTGAAGGTCATCCAGCCCAACTCCCATCCTGACTGTCCAGCCTCTCACATAATAGTAGCAGTCTTCTGTATTATAAAAATGTATAAAGCTATTTCCAGAAACCCTACATAAGTAAAAACAATTTATAGAAGTATCTATTTGAATCACATAATTAAACATTAAAACACACTGGGTAGAACTGGTTCCCTCACCCCTACAGACTATTTATCCCTTACACTTCTATCACTACTTTTAAATAATGAATGTAGTGCCACTTCACTAAAATGGACATAAACCTTTGAAGAGGTCCCTAATTTTTTCAAAATACATACTACAAGTCACATATATAAATTACATCTCAATGAAGCTATAAAATTGTGATTAACTTGCTCCCTTGGGAAAAAAATAAAAATAAATACATTAAAAAAAAAAACTTGCTCCCTTGAATTTTGGTCTTTCATTTAAGGTTTGGTTATAGATACAGCTACAGCTTTTGAACATCCAATAAAATCTTTCTTATAGGTTGTATTCATATTAATAATTTACAAGACAGTAGATCCACTGAATCACCAAGTAAAGGCTTAGGTGAATAACCAAATATTTGCAACAAAGAAAAACTGATCTAGTCAAAAGTATAAGCTATGACCACACTTAAGAATGAACGTGTGGCACCCTGGGGTCACTGCCTGCACCATGGCCAGAGGCTTTGTTTCCCAGTTTGAGCTTCAGAAGCTGCAGGCAAACTCCTGAGCATGACCAATGTGTGATGACCTGCAGTTCTTCCCCATGGTGGGTGAAGGCCTCATTGCTGGATGCCCTACCCTACCCCCCAACCTCTCACAATGGCCACCCAACCCCTACCCAGGCACCTGCACCAACACAATGGAACTTAATTTTTGGTCAAATTTGTTTCAAGCTTTTTGTCACTAATAAAACATGAACAAATGGAAAAACAAAAGAATGAGGATGTGGAATACATGGGGGGATGCAGGAAAATACTGAGCAAAGGCATTATGCAAAGGGGGAGAGCAAAAGACTTCTATCACCCTCTTTCAGGCCAGTTTACAATGGACTTATTGCTATTTGAAGTATCACTAAAAATAAGATTCATATATAGAAGAGATGTACCAGTAATATCACTTTATTAATATAAAATATGCCCCAAGTAGGAAGAATATTTTCTAGATCTCATTCTTAAATCTGTATTTTTCATGTATAAAACTTAGGTATCTGCTTGAACTGACCTTACAAAAATCCCACAAATTATAAATCAATTAAAGTTCTGATTTCATTAATTTTAGCTTGTTTCATTTCATTAGCATCTGTTTTTTTAGTTCCAAAAGCTCCAGCTGCAAGTTCTCTTTTTGTGTTTTGTATTTTCAACATATTTTCTTCGACAGAATCCTTTACAATGAACTTCAAAAAGAAAATAAATGAAGTTGGTTAAGAACTTTTCAGGTAACAAAATGAAGGTTTTTTCAATTGTCTTAAAAATTCTTACTAAATAGACTATTTCTGAGCCACACAAAAGATTAGCATGCTAACAACATTGCCCACTAAAGTCAAAGAATAAACATACCACCTTTAAAAAAATTTGTATTTCAACAATACCCACATTTCAAAGTCAAATGACTGTGTGTGTGTGTGTGTGTAAATCTTCAATACATGTTTAAAGGAAGAGAAGAAATTATAAAATAATAGTATTAACTCTTTTTCCTTCAATTTTCTTATGCTGAGAGATAAAATGAATTAGAATTTATGTAGCTACAGAGGAAAAAAAAACCTTGGAACATGTTTGAAACTATGAAGGAGGAAAAAGAGTAAATTTTACATTTTCTTCTCAATTCTACTTCAGTCATAGCAGGAATATATCCACATATTGCCTGTGTTACTTTTAAAAAGCAAACATAAGCTTAAAATAGGTAGCTTTAAACTCACTTTTGTGATGATAACCTCTTGTTTCTGGCCAAGTCTATGGCATCTGTCAAAGCACTGATCTTCTGCCGCCGGGTTCCAAGCCTAGGGAGAAGATGACTGTATGACTACTGCTCTGCTGTGTGAGTCTTCTGCACTAGTCCTTCATCTCAGTATGCATGTATTCATCCTTTCCTAATTGAATTCAAACCCTGACATCACAATGTCCCTGCAAGAAAGTTATTTCCCAATCGCTATGAAGACAGGCAGCCCTCTCCCCACATACTGCATTCTATCCACTGCAGCAGTAAATGAGGATCTTATCTGAAATGTTTAAGACTCGTGTGTTTTAGCATTCAGTGTTTCAGATTTTGGAATGTTTGCACAGATCCATAATCCAAAAGCCCAAAGTCCAAAACGTTTGGATGTTTGAGTCTGTACTCAAAAAGATCCAAGTTTTAGAGCATCTCAGATAGGAATGTTCAGCTTGTGCCCAACAAAAGCCTGACAGTGTGGCAGCAGCAACATAATGACCTGCCAACTGATCAGAACCCCTTGTGACTTTTCAGTGTAAAATGAAAACTTATGCATCTCAGATGGCTGAAAAGATGCCATTCTTGGACCCCCATATGAAAAAGTTTCTTCTGCTGGTTTTCTATCCCCATTGATAAAGCACAAATACTTTTAAAAAGTTTCAAGGCAGTCAAAAGGCCTAAAAGCTCTTCCAGACTTGTTTAAAATCTGTGTTTAAAATCAGCTGGACTTCCAAAATGAACCTTAAAAGTGCATGAGTTCTTTCTGAAGCTGAAGAAAATGATGAAATAAAGCAAAAAAAAAAAAACAAAACAAAAACAACCAAAAAAGCAAACAAACAAAAAAACCCCACCCAGCTATAGAGTTCTTCAGCAGCCAAATGGCTTCAAAATGATAGAGGCAGTCATGTTGGTGAGACTCCACGGGTGTAGTTTGTAGCATGCTAATATGTGTGAGCAAAGTCCAAGAGGTCCCAACCACAAAGAACTACAGTCCACAGATGAATTCTGAGAGTAGGAGAAATAGTCTTCCTTTGGGAAGAACACACCAAGTGATTGTCTAATACCAAATGGTCAGCCCTGAAAACATACACACAAAAGACATTATACAGACTGAGCAGGTTATATTTATGCATTTATGAATGCACACATACATACATGTTTATAACAACAATTAATGAAGTAGGACATGAACTTAAAAGAGAGCAAGGTTTAGAGGGAGTAAAGGGAAGGGTACCATGATTATATTATAATTCCCCCCAAAAAAGAAATTGCTGTCAAGATAACCAGCAGATTGCTCCTCACAGTGGCTTACACCTTTGATTCCAGCACTCTAGAAGCAGAGGCAGGCAGATCTCTATGAGTTCAAGTCCCATATAAGCAAGTGCCACCCTGTCTCAAAATAAAAGGATTAAATTGGGGGCTAGAGAGATGGGTCAATGGTTACAGTGCTTGCTGCTCTTTCAGGGGCCTGGAATGCAGTTCTCAGCACCCCGTTCAGGCATTTCAAAACCACCAGTAACTCCAGCTCCAGGGTATCTGAAGCTTTCTGCCTGGATTCCTCAGGTACCTGCTGTGCACACTGCAGATATACACACATAAACATAAATAAATAATAAAAGTTATAAAAAAGTTAAAATTAAAGATTCTTAAAAATCAAAGCAAGAGCTGGAGGTGGCTTAGTGGTATGAGAACTGTGAAAACATAAGGACCTGGGTTTGAAACTCCAGCACCCACAAAGAAGCTGGTTATGGCTCAGTGTGCTTGGATTAGTATTGGGGGACAGAGACAAGTAGATTCTAGGAACTCATTGGCAAGCAAGTCTGGACAAAATGGCAAGCTCCAGGTTCAATGACAGATCCTGTTTTGATGAAGAAACACGGAGAGCAATAGAGAGTCAGCCAATGTCATTCCCTATTCTACATACGGGCCACACCAAAACACACACATAACCTGAAAACAGTATTTGAGGTAAAGGTACATTTGCACAAAAAGTACTAGCTGAAAATAGAAACAACTATAATTCCTATGCAGATGAATTCGTGCTTAAGCTGTCATTTCCTTCTAAGTTCCCAGGTAACTAAGAAAAGGAATACTTTTGCTATTAATTTGTTGATACCTTAAGTTGTATATTTTCCAATATAGGAATTTGACTTCAGGATATATGAGTTATGCTTCTCTAAAACACTTTATGAATTACTTGTATTTCACAGACATTTTAAGTTATACCAAGAGATTAAATCAACTTTTCCTATTGCCTGTATTTTATTCCAAGAACAATGATAAGCAGGCAATATATATCTAGTTTAAAATTTCTCACAATATAAAACATACAGCATTCATTCTCACATGTAATGAGTTAAGGAGGTAGCTAGATTCATCAGGAACTCATGATGCCCACTCAAATATTACCTTACTTATTTAGAGAATGCCTTATGAATACATAAAAAATTTTCAGTGAGATTTTGTTGTTGAATCTTATTTTTCTGGGGGTTGGATTTTGTTTTTAAGTTAGAAATGACATTGAAAAGTGTGGCAAGTTCTATGAAAATCAATCTACTACAAAAGCACTAAAACTGTGGTACTGTTTTTTTTAAACTATAACCTGAGTGGCCAATATAAACAAAACAAATACTTTTAGAGTCTCTTCTAAAAATGAACTTTTAGAATTATCACTGATAAATTTCAGAATTTTTCAAACAATAACCATAAATTTTAACTTTAGACTTGACCACAGGACTAAGGAAATGTACACCACTGCTACCCATGATTTGCACCCATGGAAGTGGGTACAACGTGATTCTGGGAAGGTTATCCTCAAAGAGGAAACACCTTAAAAAAAAATGACACATGCACCAAGCTAGGAAGCTTTACCAGAATAACTAATATTCTTATCTCAGTAAAATGTCTACATGTTATCATGATATAAATCTTCTGTTTCAAGGAGCAAGCCAAAACAATAAATCTTAAATGTATCAAGGCATAGAAATTATACAGGTTTGCTCTGGTCCAGATAGCACACTGAGCAAATTAGAAATAAAAGCCAGTCTATGGTCCATATACATAAAGAGCCCATTCTGTACATTCTGAAAAATACACTCCTATGTATATGCAAGCTCAGATCATTTGTCTTTGTGAGAAGAGTGCAGAGTAAAGTGTGGCTCTCTTATCTCTAGAGCCTGAATTACACCACCACAAGTGCCTGCACTTTTTCAGCTAGTAAAACATACCCAGAACATGTTGATGGACAGCTAAACCTGAATCAGCTAGGACACATGTCTAAACTATACATTTTAGATCTCCTCCAGGAACTCATAAGTCTCAGAAGAAAGAGGTTTAAAATTGCATGTGACCTAATTCTTAGGCAAATCAGAGGTGGCCCCTCTAAAGGAGCCACTATGTCAAATTCCCTATCCCCTGGCCATACAACACAAAGTGAGATATCATTAGTTTGCAGCTTACTTCACCTAAAAACATTGTAACAGACATGTTTTATGTATTCAAAAGAACAGAAATGCACAGAATAGTACTTAAGAACTCAGAATCTGACTAGTATCACAGAGTACTGTGTGATACTAGGCACATTGTTTAATTTTATTTACTCTTTGGTGCATTAGTTTCCACATCTGCAAATAAGGATATTACCTTTATCACAATTAATTCTAACTACAAAGGCATCTACCAAACAGGTTTTGTTTCTTTTCTTTCTTTTGTTTTGTTTTTTGTTTTTTGCTTGGGGGTGGGAGGGATAACATTTTGAAAAGTCTACTTAAGTACTTACCGGATCCATTAAGAACACCCGAGAAGCTGCACAAAGATTCAAGCCAACTCCACCTGCTTTTAAGGACAGTAGCATTACAGTGGGAGATCCTGCTTCTGTGTTTTGAAAACACTGAATTGACTCAACTCTTTTCTTTTGAGCCATGGAACCATCTAAACGAGTAAACACAAATCCCGAGTCTCTAATGGGAAAAAGAAAACAGACAGGTAATACTATACTATAAAAACTATTAACTAGTTAACAAATTTTAGTTAAATGAAATTCACTCACTAATTAATTTATGTGGTACTAAAGATCAGTTAAACCTAAGGTATTGCACAAAGCTAGGTAAGCACTTTCCTAGCCACTACACACTCATTCCTTCATTCATTTCTCAACAAAGTAAATGCCTACTAAGCACCTAGCCATCTGTCAAATACTAAGTCAGAACTTATTTTTAAGATATTATACTCAGGAGAAGTTTTGTAATTATACTGAGTATCACTTTAAAAAGATGAAAAGACTAAACCTATAAAACATTAAAACATTGTTTCTGCTATCAAACAATACACAAGTACAAAATCCTCCCATGTGAAGTAAAAAACACTGTTAAACTTACTTAAGTGGTGTTTCTATTAAAGACAAGAATGTGGTAAACTGAGAAACAACTAAACTTTTTATGTTGGGGTTCTCTGTCCGTAATTCAATCAAAGCATGCATTAGAGCATTAATCTGAAAAATAAAAATCATATCCATTAGATTATATCTCAACTGGTAAGATAAGTCCAAATATTCTAGTTTTTAAAAATATATCAGCACAGACCAATTTTAATCAGGTTCACATAATGCAGCATTCACTGAACAAATCCCAGCACTGAAAGAGTTTTCATATAATTTAACTGAAAAGCAAAAGTAAAAGAATAGAGACTGAAAAAGATACCATAATAATCCAAATCCCTTTCTTTTCCAACTTAAATTTAACACTAAATATAATTACAAGCCTGTAGCACCAAAAGAATTAAGCAATGATAGGATTAAAACAGAATTAGACTTACTATTCTATTATATGACATTTCCTGTTTGAATATGATATAACTCTAGAATATTTGCATATGGGCACTTTACCTTTGAACTGGATGTCCATTCCATTTTGGACTTTTTCTCACTGTTACATGCCAACTCTTCTGGTGGACATTCTAATAAATTGTCTCCATGTATATTATTTCTGCATAAAGGGCATTTAGCATGTGGCTATCACAAAAGAACAAAGATATATTAGACTAACTTATCAAGTTGCTTTTTACTTTTTAAAAAATATGGTTACTATAAAACTTAAATTCATTGTGTCTCACTTTACTAACGTATTTAATTGAACACAAAGATCTGAAATTTAGAACTAATATTACTGACTAAAACATAGTGCCTCCAAATAATACCTTTTAATTTATGATAAATACATCACCTATTACAACACTGAAATAATTAAACATGAGAGGTATATTGCTAAATTCAAGTATAGAACACGTTATCATCCCCTGAACTTGGTTAGGTTTTTATTACACCAAAGAAAGTTGTATCACTCCATTAAACACTGACTCCATACTGAACAACAAACCAACCTGCTCATTCTGAATGACTTGGCAGATACAAGGTTTACAAAACACATGTGCACAATGTGTTATCACAGGAACTGTTAATGAATCCAGGCAAATTGCACATTCTTCATCTGAACCAGAGCTCAGAATTAACTTCATCTTCTTTATTAACATCTTCCTCAGTTCTTCAGGTGTATCATTTCCTAGGAAAAAAGAGGCTCAAAAATTAATTGCAGAACAAACTTTTGTAATGCAACTAGAATAGATTATCTTATATAAGGAACTTTGCTTAATTGTCTTTCATCTTTATTATGGCATTTGCAAAACACATGTTCATAAATTTAGAATTATAAGAAGATGCCGTTTCACTTAATACATATCACACAAGCATAAAACAGTATTATCTACATTAGCAGCATATGAGAAAGAACCAGTTTGAATGTTCTTCTGGAAATGCTGCAAAGACATCAGACTTCCATTTCATTCATAAAAGATTCTTGGAGTCAGAAAATGGCTCAGCAGGTAAAGAAACATGACTCCATGCTTGACAACATGAATTCAATCCCCAGGACTCACATGGTATAGAAGGAATTGACGCTTGCAAGTTGACCTCCACACATGCATCCATGTACCCATGCATAGTCACATAAACATAAAGATGTAATTTGTAAAAACTTAACGAAAGCAGGACATAGCAATGTAACAGACCAAATTCAAATCATGAAAATCTGTCCTTTTGAATGAGATATGAACCAATCACGTATCCTTACCAGAGGGACCACTCGAAGACATTCCATTTGTAAGAAGATGAGTATGACAACAAATCTGCCTCAATCTAAGCAGAAGACCCAAGACATCTGCATAGTGTGCAAGGACAGTCCCTTCAGTAAAATACCTAGAGATAAAATGTCAGACATTACCAACATCTCTAAACAAGAATAAAAAGAAAAGCTACCCCATCTTTAATAAAACCAAGCAAAAAAGTCAGTGAGGAAAATGCCAATAAACACTGACATTCCCCAGCTGGTTTTTCAAAATAAGATGTGCATATACAATGAAAGGACAATTAGTGGCTCTCATGTGAAAACAGAAATAGGGTGTATGCATGGTGACCTGAATGTCTAGTCCAATTTATATACACACACACACACACATACACACACACACCCTCTCTCTCTCACACTCACATGCTGAGTGGGGAGGCTGTGGCACAATACTCAATTTTATAAGCAATTATAATGCTTCTGATCTCTGTTGTATAAACATCAATAAAAACTAGAAGAATTCACATGTGACTCCTATGAATAAGAAAAATTGGGTATTTCTTCATACCTTGGGACATAACAAGGACCTTTATAGGAATCTGGACAAAGCAGCTAGTCCAGAAAGAACTCAAGATAGTCAAATATTAAATAATCAGCATAGAACAAAGAAGGAAGTGAAAAAAAAACTCACCCGAGAAAGTTACCACAGAAAAAATAGGAATTATACTGTGAACACATGATTTAATGTCACTCAATAAAACTCCCACCAAACAATAAAAATTCATGGCAAAGACAAAGATTTTACAAGGTGCAGCATGTCAACACAAGATATCCAATACAAATCTGAGTATAACAAGGAAAAGGAAGCCACCTGAGAAAGAAAGAGCCATACTATGTCTTATTAGGGTTTCTATTGCTGTGAATAGACATCATGACCATAGCAACTTTTAGCAAGGAAAAGATTCAATTGGAATTGGCTTACAGTTCAGAGGTCTAGCCCATTGTCATCATGGCAGTGAACATGGTGGTGTGCAGGCAGACCTGGCACTGGAGAGGTAGTTCATAGTTCATAGCAGAAAGCAGCAAGAGAGTGCCACACCGGGCCTGACTTAAGCATCTGAGTCCTCAATACCCACCACCTCTACAGTGACATACTTCCTCCAACAAGGTCACACCTCCAACAGTGCCACTCGTTTGAGTCTATAGGGGCCATTTTCATCCAAATCATGACACACTAAAACCACTGACAAAGCCATGGGAAAGGAAATAGAATTGAGAAAACAAAAAATAGTTATAAAGGATTATAAATAAACCAATATTGGTAAAAAGCAGATGAAAGATATTTTTAAAAGACACAGAAAAAATTTTAAAAATAGAATAAAAAAGTACATTTTCTTTTTTAAAGGTATGTGTGGATGGTGGTTGGTACTTACTTAAAAGATTTAAAAGGTGCCATTGTTTGGATGGAATGGCCCCGCTTGATCCTGTGAAAGGCCCATTCCTCTCTCTCCAAACCCTGCCCTGTCAGAGAATCTCCAACAAAGAAAAGCCATCTAAAAGCCCAGTTCTGCATCCTTGGCAGCTACGGTGACTCCTCCCTTTAGGTAGCCAGTGGCCTAAGTCTCTATCCAAAGTGTTATAATTGGGCACAAACACAGCTTGTGACTGACATGTCATCACTACTCATCTACAGGGTACATAAGCGCCCTGCTTTAGTTTGGCCTTGTGATTTTTCTCCTGTCCCTTCTCCCGCCTTGATTTTGGTGGCCTGTAGGACTCACTAGGGAGTGGCTTTGCTCAAAATAAGCCTGTTCTTTACTTTTTCAATCTGACTTGATCTAGCTTGCTATGTCAGTGGAGAAACCTATTGTGAGGCACAGAAAACCCAATTATACATGCTTTACTTGGCATATGCCTTGCCTAAAATGGTACACTGCTTAGTGCTCTTTATCTCACCAACTACACAATTCTAAGTATCTTTCTGTCCTATTTGTTGCAGACCTGGATAACAGCAGTGAACTACTCCTCCTTGAAATTTCCTCAGTCAAACAAATTAATCCATTATCTTTTTATTCATTTACCTTATCAGGATATGGGGAAAATGTTGCCAGATTCTTTGCCGGAATATAAGACAAACAGCCATTAGCCCAGTATGATAGTTAATCTCAACTGTCAACTTGATAAAATCTAGAGTCACTTAGGAGTCAAGTCTCTGGGAGATTATATTTATTAGGTTAAGTGTGCAGAACATAAGCCCTGTGTGGGCAGACACCATCCCTAGGCTGGGATCCTGAACTGTATTAAAAAAAGAAGAAAACAGGGTGCAAACATTTGTTACTCTGCTTCCTAGCTGCAGATGAAATGTGACAAGTTGCCAGAGCTGCTGCCACTGTGACTTTCCCTGTAGTAGTAGTAACCTCGAACTGAGGCAAAGTAAACCTCCTTTCCCTTAAATTGTTTTTGTTACTAGATTCTACTGTTGGAACAGAAAAAAAATAAAGCAAACAAACAAAATGAAACAAACAACAACAAAAAAACACCACACCCCCCTCCAAGTAACCAATATAGCGCTTGTTCCCCTATTAAATTTCATGAATTGATCTTCCACTGTCCACATTTCTCTCAGCATTCCTCTTGTTCACATTCCCAACAGAATGGCTTGCTCATTGTATACTGCTTAAAACAGTCTAGCTTTTCTAGCCCAAAATTTCAAACTCTTTCACATTCTTCTCACAAACTCCGAAGGCTTACAAACCACTTGGTCGCATTTATCAAAGCAACAATCTGACTTCTAGGTACCAATTTTCAGTATTAATTTCTTAATGCTGTGCCCAAATACTTGAGAAGAAGCTAAAGAATGTAATCAGTGCTCTGTGAGGCAAGGGTCTCTACAGAGTAAGATGGTTCAGAAGCTGAGGGAAGCAATTTGAATTTGCAACCATCTTTTAAAAAGTAACATTTTTTAAGAGTAGGATGGTAATCATCTGTATATTATTACAAACATGGGTATCTCAGCATGACTTACAAGAAGATGTAGAAATCTAAGAATAGGAAATGATGACAATTAAAAAGAATTAGGAGTCAGAAGGTGAATAATTCCAGCTCAAGAAAACCATTATCTGCCCACAGGGATCAGAATGAGGCAAAGACAAAAGAGGGCTGTGAACTCGGGACTCTTCATAACAGAGAAACTTTAATGAGGTAGGCACAAAGCAGATTTAATTGGAGAGATGAAAGAACAAAACAAAGGAGATTTCCAACTTCCAAATCTTAGCAATGCTAAGTGAACTTTCTTCTCAAACTATTTCAATCAAACTTACCAAGTACCTAACATACACATATACTGGGATACAAATAGATTAAAATGAGTTTAGATTTTCAATAAAATGAAACAGGCAATTTAAAACTAAGTTTTATGGGGGGGGTGAGGGAGGCAGAGAGAAGGAATCAGGAAGTACAAAATTGTTTCTATAAGCCAATAAGGGAAGACTTCACGGAAAAATTGATATATATCAAAACAAGATGTGGCTTGGGTGTCTGTTAAACAGAAAACAAGCATAAAATCGAGTTGGGAGCATCTGTCTGCTCTGTGTGTGTCTACTCCCATGACACTTAGAAATGGAAGTAAGCAAGTTCCTCTGACTACTGACAGAAATCAACACTTTAAATAAGCTTTAACTTTTTGCAGGCCCAAGAAATTACTTACCTGATGGATTATACCTTTGTTTCATTCACTTCAATTAATTTTTTAAAAAGAAAAAAATTTGAAGTATAAGCTACACAAAACAATAGCTTTCAATATATTTTAGATAATAGCTAAAATATTTAAAAACTGTAATTCAGCTAGTAAGAAGTTAAGAAAGCAGAAAAAAAAATTTAACATGGCATTCTGTTTCCATACCTTCCAATGGTAGCTTTGCCTTCATTTTTAACAGACTGATAAATCTTTCTCTCTTCTTCTGAAAGTGTAATGTGCTGAATAAACACTTTTCTTTCTGGTAACTCTAAAACAGGTTTCCCTTTAATTTTGCTTGTCTTTGTTCTTCGAAGTGTGATATTTTTAATTAAGGACTGTAAACGCCTAGTCAAAGTTAAAAAAAAGTAATTATATAACTATTTCTAAATAAATTGAGCAAAAAGGAACAAAACTCAAGAATTTATTGATTTATAATTTTAATAAATTATACATTTTTAAAAATCTTTTTTTCAGCTTTTAAAGTCACAAAAATATTCTACAAATAAAAAATTGTGCTTCAACATAACACTAATAATCCTATATCATGTTCTTACTTCTACAAAGCTGCTCTGGTTTTGTTGTCATCATTGACACTTTCATTCCTCAGCTACCTTCTTATCAATTATACCACTCAATGCACAATATTTGCATTCTTACTAAGCAGCTATTATTAAGTTAAGGTACTTTATCACATAGAGTGCAGATAGAAGTGAGAGCCTATCTTCTGTACTCTAAAGTAATCCTCTGATCATGAGTTAAAAAGTCTCATCTAATATGAAAAATAAAGGTATAAAATGAAAATCAGGTGAACTTTTTATAAGTTAGTGAATAACTGAAAAATAAAAACATGCATACTCAGAAGAGGGAAAAATGCCTTACTATGCTCTGTAATCTTGCCATTTTTTCCCTTCAGTGTCAAAATTTTAAAAATGAGGCTGATCAGTTAGAATATTTTCCATAATAGTAAAATAAACAATTTTTAACTTAGACTTAGTAGAGCATAAATAGTTCTTAAGAATCATGTGGCCAGTTTTGACAGTTACGGTAATGGTTTAAATTTTGTATCATTTTCACTTTAACTCAGTCAGAAATACATTGGACTGTATCCACCCATAACAGAAATAAATATTCAATACATATACATCATACATCTTCACTTAGAGATGCACTCTGTCTGGTATTTTTCATAGTCTCTATTACATATCTGTTTCTTTATCTATGCTGATTGCACCTTTATAATGATTCTATGACCCACCATTAAGTACCAAATCCTATTTAGACAAACACTGTTCTAGAACCACAGAAGCCAAGTATGTGCAAAATATCCATGAGTGTTTTCATTCCTTCCTCAGCTTTTAACTGTATCCACCCAAATCAACCATATGAAATGTTCATTTGAGATCACTATAGATCACCAAATGCTCCTCTAAGAGTACTGTACGTTATCAAAATATGATGCATAGTGAATCATCAAAGGATATAGCTTTTCCTATCATTGTTGAACCTTTTTGTGTTGGCTTTGGGGTAACAGTCACACACAATGACTATAAAGCTTTGCCTTTCCTTTCAGTTTTGCTAGTAGGGAAAAAGTACACAAACAGAACTCTTGTATCCCCAGACCAAGTCACTAGGTTTTAAGAGTCAGTGACACTGACACTCATATGTTTTGGAGACTAAAGTTAAAAGCTAAGTGAAAATGGTAATGGAAGTGGCAAGTGGTTGCACTAACTGTTGCTAATGTGTCAGCTGTCATAAACTTACCTAAGTCCTCCCTCGTCTCCCATTGTAACAGGACGCTGTATTGTTCTGTGCCACCACTCTCTATCAATAAATGGCTTAAGTTTTAAAAAGGACAGAAGAGACCACAAGTCCTTTAAAGAATTCTGGATAGGAGTACCTAAAAGACAAACAAACAAAAAGCCCCAAAGAACAAAACAAACGGGAAACCATTATAACTCTTCAAAATTAAATTAATTTTGTGGTGCTAGGGATCACATAGGCTAGATAAGAAGTCTACCACTGAGTTATAGCTCTTTAGCTAAGATATTCACCAGGTCCAATGAGACAAAAAGAGTTGAAATTGGACACTGTCTTAGGAACACACTGACTCAGGTCTTCACACACTTAATGAGGCAAATGTTTGACCACTGAACCATCTCCTTAGTCTTGGCTTCCTTTTCAGATAATTTGTTATTGGTGTGTGTGGATTGCTACAAGCACCACAGCCTGCAGGAAAACAACCAGGGTGAGGTAAGAATGAAACTTCTAGAGTTTGACACGATATGGTTTATTTTAGACAAATTTAATATAGTATAATTTTAGAAAATGTTTCCATTTTTCTAAAAAATCCCAACCCTAAGTATACAATGCAGCTTAAAACATGACTACATTGAAACTTATTTGCAAAGTACTGTAACCATGAATATGGGTTCTATAACTTTAAGGGCCTAGAATCAGGTATGGTCTCTGACAGAGATGGAGGTCAGCAGCTATAAGCCACATGTGACATCCCTCCTAAGGATGGTTCTCATTGACTGAGAAACAAAGATAAAGGTCTAGGGAGACAGTCTGGGATAAACATTCTAGGGGATCTGGATGAGATCTACCTCTACAGATAGCAAAGGTTACCAGGTTATTAACAGCATCTACTCTCAACCTTCTGGGTGGAAAACAGGTTTTCATTTCCTCCACTGAGGAGACAACCCTGCTGCTTAACAGTCCTGGTTTCTCCAATGCTTATCTTTGAGCACTCATGCCCCCTACATCTTTGCATTTCTAAATTTTTAAAGAAAAAATAGTGGTCATAATGGAAGCCATGGTTGAATGCATTGCCTCTACAGCTATGCAATCACAGGAGAATTATAATAGCTAACAGAGGACCAAGAAAAGGGGAAAGTCATCTTATAAATGAATCAAAGGTCATGATAGATTTTTGTCTGTCTCTCTATGTAAATCATTAATTTCACCACCAATAGTATAAGGAAAATCTGACACATTAAAGCAACACGTATCAGTAAATTGTTGACAACTAAGATTATGCTTGAGCAGTAGCAAATAATCTATAGTAGCTCTATTTTGTAAAACTATGGTCATCATTAGTATATAAAAATGGTAGTAAACTTTGGATGTTGATTTTGTATCCAACAACTTTGAATTTGAATTCATTCTAATTCCCAGAAACCATATAAAGAAAGACACAGTAGCATGGATCTGTAATCTCTGGGATCACACAAGGTGAGACGCAGAGACTGAATTGGAAGCTCACAGACCAGCTAACCTGGCATATGGGGTAGACCCTAACACAAGCAAAGAAAAAATGAAAACTGGCAACCAAGGTTGTCATGTAATCTACATGTCCTCTAATCTATACACACACACACACACACACACACACACACACACACACACACAAACACGTAATTAAAAAAAAAAACTGAAACTGATCTCTTAGAGATCAAAAGAAAATAGTGGTTACCAGAGGTTGAGGGGAAAGACTGTTCAATGTTATTAAGGTACAGCATGGCAGGAAAAATAAGTTCTGTTGTTACACTGCACAGTAGTAGGATAAAGATGGAAAAAAGAATATCCTATAAAAGGTAGAAGAAATTATTTTGAATGCTTTTACCATAAAAATAAATGAAGAAACAGATATAATTACCCTAATTTGAATATGCTACAATGAACTCTCACACCACATTAAGGTCCATGAATATGACTAGTATTAGGCATCAATTCAAAAACACTAATAAAAAAATGAGGGCTTTGAGATAGCTCAGCAGATAAAGTGCTTGCCACATGACTATGATGGCACTGGAGTTGGATCCACAGAAATCACTTAAATTCTGCCTGTAATACCACTGCTTGGAATGAAGATAGGATTCCCAGCGCTAGCTGGATAGCCAGCCTAGTAGTACTGTGAGCTCTGGGTTCAACTAAGACCATGCCTCATAGAAAAGGTGAAGAATGATCCAAGAAGAGGCCTGATACTGACATCAAGCTTCCACAGAAATGTACACACATGTGAATACACAGATACACAAAGCTTAAACAAAATTAAAACAACCAAATGCTATAATTACCTGTCAATACCCATCTTCTTTCTGCTTCTAAGTCAAGTACAGCTTTTGTCTGCTGAGCATTTGGATTTCGTATAGCATGTCCTTCATCAAGGATCACTCTTAGCCATTTAATGCTATGTAATGGACTATCATCTTTAGTCTGAAATACAGGTTTCATATGAAATCAAAAATCCCAGTAAACAATAGTACTTCTGATCTCTCCTACCAACTCTTATTAGGTACCTGGTACTGTGAAGTATGCCAAAGACAATTAATGAATACACACAAGCCTAGAATATTACCTCTATTTTATTGCTAAGAACACCAAAGCAAAAGATACTAAATATGTTATTCAAAGTACCACTAAGAAGCAGCTAGCTCCTACTCCAAGCTAAGAAGTCTACTGAGTCGTGCATAATACACTGAACAATTTTGCACTAGTTGAAACAGTGACAGAAAAGCCATCCCTTGTGAGTCATTTTTCAATGTAACAACCTTGCTTTGTTTTATACAAACAGTAATATTCTTCCTAGAACATTGAGATTTTCACTATTTAGTATTCCAAAAATAACTGGAATTGTTAAGGAAAATAACAGGCTCATGAAAAGAGTTGAGAAGCTAGTTAATGACTACTATAAACAAAAAGTGTATTTTCAAACTGTAACACTAATCATTAAAAAATCATACAAAAAATTTCAATTTAGAAACGTGAAGGAGAGTAATTAAATTCAACCTTTAAAATTTTTCTACATAGGGCTAGAGAGATGGTTTAGCAGTTAGGAGTGTTGGCTGCTCTTGCAGAAGACTCCAATGCTATTCCCAGCAACTACATCAGATAACTACAGCTATAGGGGCCTCCAACGTCACCAGCATTATCACACAGACACACACACACGATTTTTAAAAACTAATAAATATCTTTAAGGCTTTAGGTATTTGCATACTTACTCCATAATCATGAGTTAAAATATTATAAGTTGTCAAAACAATATCCTGTTTTGAAAGCAAGGCTGGATCTCTAATACGATCGGGACCATAATAAACATAAAAATTCAAGTGCACTTCTGATTTTATATGTTGTCCAAATTGATCCTAAAAGAAAATTACAATTATTTTAATGAGAAGCAGATGAGTATCAAGTTTAGCATGCATATCAAAGAGGTGTGCCAACAGGAGTGTCATTAAATCAGTTTTCCTACAATCTAAAACTAAAGTATGATAACTATACTAATCCATATCATATTGTATCAAATCGTAAAACTGACAAACACATAAAAGATGTTACATAAATTGTGCCTGTCCTACCAATGAGCAGTCATTTCACTTATATGTAACTATTTTATTACTATGTAGTCCTTTTCCTGACTTGCTTCTCAAACACTAGGATTAAAGGAACATCTAGCATGTCTTTCATTTTAAGTAAAAGAAGTTTACTAAATTACTTTGTAAGCAACAGGGTTAGATGATTTTGAGCAAGGAAAGGGAAAGAAAGGAAGGAAGGAAGGAAGGAAGGAAGGAAGGAAGGAAGGAAGGAAGAAAGAAAGAAAGAAAGAAAGAAAGAAAGAAAGAAAGAAAGAAAGAAAGAAAGCTGGTTTGCCAAAGGGGTATCAACCCACAGGTTGAGAACCACTACTATGGACTACCTAGACTGCAACACAGACCATAAACATTGGCCTACAGGTGTCAGAGGTGCATATATGCATTTTAACGTTACACACAGATACAACATACAACTAGGAATAAGTCTTTAAATAACTATGCTTTAAGGAGAACATGTACAATGAGACAACAAGGTGGTCAAGGATCTAGCCTGCCAATAAAAAGAACCACACTATGCTTTTTTGGAGGAATGACATAGCTGAGATACGGTTAGAGTATTCCAGCGAAGAAAAGAGTAAAGATGGTTGCACTCTGGTAATTCTTGGGTCTTGCCGAGTAAATGAAGTTAGCATTAAAGTTTTTAGATTATTTTTTTTAAGATCACTATATAACCCAGCTTGGTGTCAAAACTCTCAAGCTCCCAAGACTAATTGTATATGAGCCAGAAGCAAAGCAAAGCAACAGTGGGCAGAAAAGTCAAAGGAACAAACAAAGAGGATGAGACCCAGAAGACAAAGGATAGCAGAATTCCGGAAGGAAATAAGGTAAAGTACTCATCTGCAACTCACAAACACTTTACATACAGAATAATTCCAGATGACATAAAAAAATGCAAAATGTTCTCCAGAGTGAGGGAAAAAAGCTGTAAGTCAAGAACATACAACAATGAGGTTAAAGGTTTCCCCTAAGGGAGTTTCCATAACAAATGAGAATAAAATAGATTACAGTTGGCTGAAGAAAATCACATAAAATAGAAAAGCCAAAACATGCAAAATTAGGGGGAATCTGAAATACAGATAAAAACACAAAGAATTTTTTTCTTAGGTAATCTGGTAAAGAAGAAATTCAGTATGAGGAGGAGTTTTTAATTAAAAATTCTAGTCAAATGGGTAGCAATGACATGGAATACTATGTATTTATGGAAGAATAAGGCTTAGAATGAAAGGAAATCAATACTTCTGGAGAGGAAACAATAGTCACTATGTCTTTAGATACTCTGTGTGTCAGGTAGTTTATCAATAAGATGAAATGGGTGATTCGGAATGCAGTTAGACAATCTGTCTTAATAAGTAGCTAAAATGAATTCATGGTGTTTGTGGAACTGGTATTTAGATCTTACTCCTTTAATTTGATTATTTTCCTTATTTGCAAACAAAAAAGGGGGAGCTGGAGAGATGACTCAGCAGTTAAGAGCAACCTGTTGCTCTTGCAGTGGACCTGTGTTTGGTTCCCAGCACCCATACAAAAGTTTCCATCAATCTACAACTCTAGTTCCAGAGGATTGAATGCCTTTTTATGGCCTCCATGAGCACCTTCGAGTACATGAACAAACAGTAAATAAAAATATAGATCTTTTAAAACAAAAAAGGGGGGGAGTAGGTTCCAATCTGTTACAGGAAATTTTAGGTGATTAACCTGGAAGAGTATAATCACAATATATTATTGGAAGAATGAAATACTGTTTACCATGTGCCTCTTTGGGGATTGAATAACCCTTTCACAGGGTCATTCAATGGTCGTCTAAGACCATTTGAAAACACATATATTTACATTAGAATTCATAACAATAGAAAATTCACAATTATGAAGTAGCAACAAAAATAATTTTATGATTGGGGTCACCACAACATGAGGAACTCTATTTAAGAGTCACAGCATTAGGAAGGTTGAGAACCACTGTTCTATATGTTGAAATGTCCATTATTTCTTTAAATTTTTACAAAGTTTTATTTTCTGAGGTATCTTTTCTAAGTTTATATTACTTAAACTTAAGGTTTTTAAATATAAAATATAATTATCTATTTTACATTTATCTAACCATCTATTTTTATCTAATTTTTTATGTGGTGCTGGTTATGCTGGGAAAGCACTCTACCACAGATCTATGCCCCTTGATTAATCATTTTAAAAATACATCTGTACATACCAAGCCTTTAGAAACTCACAGTTTTATTACTTATGCCTCTATCAGTATTTCTAAGTTTCACCTTTAACCTGTCATTCAATCATGCACTTATAGCCCTTACCAAGGCAAACTACACATCTAAAAGAAAGACCATAGTTTTACTGAAATAAGAATAGAGAGGGGGGAAAAACACCACAACCCATAAGCCTCAAAAGGGAAGAATGATAATGAGTCAAGAGAAGGAATAATTTCTTTTAAATAAATAAACCAAAAGATGTCATGTCGTAGAGGAGAAAACATTGTGAAGAAGAAATGCATTAAGTCAATGAAGAATACAAAGTTGAGAAGAAAAGAGGAACATACTGTCAAAAAGAGGACGGTGAATATGATGAGTCAGTCAGGATCTCCCAGTGCAATTCTGACAGCTAGAAGCAGAAGTCAATGCAGTGAGTAAGAGCATAAAGCAGACACTAACCTCCAAGAACTCTAATAGGGAAGGGATGCAGAAGAGCATAATTTCAAGGTGAGACATAATCAAAAGGAAATATGTAAAATGAAGACCTGAATATTTTCATGAAAACCCAGTGGAATATACTGAATAACCAAGAGACAGGGAAAAAGAACAGATAAGTGAAACAGGGAAAATGGAATAAAACAAAGCCAATAGTTTTATGAAGAACAGGAATTCTTCTTCCTGATATAGGACAAACCAGGTGGAGACAGAAACCCCAGAAGAAAACAAGAATGAAAGCTCACACCCAGTAGTATTTATGTTCAAACGCTTCCCAAATAATCATATTTCATTATAAAACAAAGCTTGAGGTTCAAATTAGCAAGGACATAAAAGCAGGCTGCTTCCTACAAATAGCATATACAGATCCCATTCCAATGAAATGTTCTTAAAAAAGAAAAACAATCTGCAGGAGGAGGAAACCTGATTTTCTGGTCAGTAGTCTTAAAACAAGAGATTCTGAGGTCAATTATTGGTGACCACATTTGAGTTCTCTAATGCACTTGACTGGATGGCCTTGGTCAAGTTATATAACCTCTCAATTTGGTCACTTGAAAACTGAAAATAGTGAAGATAAGTGAAAAAAAGTCTATGAAAGAAACTAAGGACAAACCAAGCAGACAGGAGCACATGTAATGTTATACATGGTTATATACTATAAGTTACTATCAGTGGTATTCTCACAATTCCCAAATTTAATTTCTAAATATAATAGGAGTGCTAAATTATAAACATGTCTCTCTTAGAGGGAACAAACACGGTGAAAGCGAAAGTACAAATCAAAGTCGCTAGTAGCAATTAGGAGGTTAACCATATAAGCCTTCAAAGAAAAAGTACTTCAGGTCAGCAAATATAATTCGCTTAACTGATTAAATGAAGGTCACACATTTCTAACAATACTTTCTTACAGACAGATATGATATCCCATTTTAAGCAGAAAAACTTTGGACTTACAATCCAATTGCTCAGCACAGAAAGTGGACAGATGATCAGTGTTGTTCTTGTCCTCTCTCCAGTGTCACATTTCTTTGAGCCCTTCATCACAGATGCCCCTAAAAGAACAATGTGTTGATAGACTTTATCTGCTTTTTTAAATACTGAGATACAGCTCAACATGGTCCTAACAATCATCAACTATGAAAAGAGACATTGAGAAGAATTAAAAGCTAGGAATTGGGTGCTGGGAAGCAGTGGTGCACACCTTTAATCCCAGCACTAGGGAGGCAAATGCAAGTGGATCTCTGTGAGTTTGAGGCCATCCTGGTCTACATAGGGATTTCCAGGACAGCCAAGGCTACAGAGAAACTCTGTTACAATGTCACAATAAAAAAATTTTAAAAAAAGAGAAAAGAGAGATGGGCTGTTTCTAGCCTCCCTCACTCCCTGAAAGCAAACATTAAATAGTGATTATCAAGAAGAATCAGAAGATTGTAACTGGACACTCAGAGCAGTCTCCCTCTTTAGTTAAACTTTCCCAGAAACACCCTCCTAGAACAACCAGGGGTGTTTTTATGGTGATTCTAATCAAAGATTAATTATCACAATTCCATCTCTTGTCAGCTTAACACACAAGAACATCACTTTAAGTAGTAACATTTCACCCCTGGCCCCTGAACTTTCATGTTCATCTTAAAATGCAAAATATATTTAGTTCATTTCTAATTTCTTCACAGACTTTTTGAATAGGCCCAACTTCAATAGTTCAAAGGTCCTTCTGAAACTTAGGGCAATTTCTTAACTGTGAGCCCCTACAGCCTTCCTCACAAACTAAGGTAGTAGCATCTACAATATCTTGGAGCTCCCACTCTACCTAAGACCATACATTCACAGTCTGTGCAATGGCTTCCCCCACCTCCTGGCAGGGTCTCCTGCCTCAGCAGTTTTTTGAAGCTTTGACCTAAGCCTCCATGAACCTTGCATTATCCATCTTGCCTACAAAATCTGTACCATATGGACATCACTTTCAAGTTCTGGAGTCGACTCAAAACGTAGCTTGTCCCTTGGACCAAAGATACAACCACTTACTTCTATGTACCTTTAAGGCTGACCCTGAGAGACAAGTACTCTGGGTGGCAACTGTGGAGTACAGAACACCTTCAGTGGCATTGTGTCTTGGCTCTCTCCTTTTAAATTCATTGCCCTGTTACAAACTGGAGCCTTCAATGGGCAAGGTCTCGCCCTATGTATACTTCTCCTATGCCAGTGCAGCTGTAAGGTTCTTTAATGTCGCCTAATCTCTGTAACAATTAGAGTCACTCTCGCCATATCGCCCCAGCTGTAGAATATTATTTTAAGGTGTATAACTTTTGTTTATCCTGCATTTGCTTAACTATGTAAAGCTGTGATTCTTTGCCTGTCTAAAACACCTGATGCTCCTAATAAAGAGCTGAACGACCAGTAGCAAGGCAGGAGCAAGGGCAGGTGGGGATGGCAGCCAGAGAGGATAAATAGAAGGAGAACTGAGGAAGAGGAAGGAGAACAATGAGAGGAGGATGTCAGGGGACAGCCACCCAGCCAGGCATGGAGTAAGAAGGAAAGTAACATATACAGAAGTAAGAGAGAAGGCCAGAGGCAAAAGGTAGTCGGAATAATTTAAGGAAAGCCGCCAAGAAACAAACCAAGCTAAGGCCAGACATTCATAACTAAGAATAAGCCTCTGTGTGTGATTTACTTGGGAGCTGGGTGGTGGACCCCGCAAAAAGTACAAAAAGTCAAAAGAGTGACATCACACTACACAGCCCTGTCCTCAACTATAAATTCTCACTCCTTCCTCGCCAAGCTGCACACTTGTCTTACCCTGTCTGCCCCACTTGCAGTTTTCTGTCACCCTGGGTAAGAGTAGTGAGTAGTAACCATAATACAGCCTAAATGCTATCCTGTCTTGAAACTCCCGTGCCAAATAATCAGCCAATCAATGTGTCTTAATTCAGCCCCACTCAAATGGTTAAGACATGAACAGAATGAAGTCAGATCCTTTGCCAGAATAAAACACAAAAGGCCGCCAGCCCTGTTCCCAAGAGAGTCCTTTGAAACCTGATGAGCAAAGTCCCTACTGCCTTCACTTCTCTCAGAATTCTGATCTTCCAAATTCCCACCAAAATGTCCCCTTACTCTCTTGTCTAAAGTGTGTCTATAGCCTGTAGCTCCAAACTCTTTCACACTGATCCTACAAACCAGTGCTAAATGCTTACAAACCAGTCAGGGTTAGCACACCAATAACACTTTTCCTCAGCACCAATTTTTTGTTAGTTGTTGTGACAAAATACCTTACAAAAGCAAACTAAGTTATTTTGACCTCCAAATTCAGAATATCTTGCCCATTAAGGAGGGGAAGCCATGGCAGCAAAAGAATAAGGCATCTGGTCACACTACATCCACAGTCAGGAAGTACAGAAAAGTAAATGATGTTCAACTCACTTTCTCCTTATTAAATCCAGGACCAGCCCATGGAATGCAAGCATATATTCAGGATGGATTTTTTTCCTAAGTATTTCTAGTTTTAAGTTTAATTATGTGTGTATATGGTGTGTGTGTGTATGTGTGTGTGTGTATGCATGCACCAGAAGAGTTTGTCAGCAGTAGTTGGATCCTTGGAGCTAGAGTTAAAAGAAATTGTTAGCTACCCAATATAGGTGCTGGGAACTGAATTTGGGCCCTCTGGAAGAGTAGTATGTGCCCTTACCTCTTTTGCCATTAGCAATTTATGTATTTAACATCCAGACCACAGCCTCCCCCCCCTCCTCTCCTTGTACTCCCTTCCGCCCCCGACTTCTCTTCTACATCCCCCCAATCCACTTGCCCTGTCAGCCCCTCCCCTCTGCCATATTCACCAAGAAAGGGGCAGGTCTCCCCTGGGCATCAGCAAAACATGGCTATCAAGCTGCCCTAAGACCAAGCACCTCCCCTGTATCCAGGCTGGGCAAGGCAATCCAGCATGAAGACTAGGTTCCCAAGAGCTAGCCAAAATTTTGCACCAGGGATAGCCCCACTCCCGTTGCCAGGAGTCCCACTAATAGACCACACAACTGTCACATATATTCAGAGGGCCTAGGTTGGTGCCATGTAGGGTCCCTGGTTGTTGGTTCAGATTCTGTGAGTTCCATGAGCCAGGCTAGCTGCTTCTGTGGGTTTTCCTATGATGTCCCTGATTTCCCCCTGACTCTGATATCCCTACAATCCCTCCTCCCTCTCCTCAGCAGGACTCCCCAAACTCTGCCCAATGTTTGGCCATGCCTCCATCAGTTACTGGTTACTGGATGAATGCTCTCAGGCAACCAATCCAATCACAGGGATGGCCTGCTCAGGCTATGCATCCACTGCTGCCTGAGTCTTAGCTGGGGCCATCCTTGTAGACTCATGGAAGTTTTTCTTGTTTCAGGCTTCTACCCCACTCCATAAAGCCCCCCTTTCCAGTCACATTTCTCAGCACTCCCTCCTCTGCCCAACCCCCAATCTGATACCTTGAGTTACTTACATACCCACCCACTCCCACTTCTCTATTTCCCCTTCCCTGGGAGACCCAGGTGTCCTCCCTTGGGCCCTCCTTGTTACCTAGTCTCTGGGTAAAATATACCATTTTTAAACAGACTACATTCAAGTCTACTTTTATGCTTTTACATCCTTATACTGTTTTATCTCCTTTCTATCATTTAACATTGAAAGTCTTTTATTTGTTCATTGCATCCCTCATGACATAAGCCATGGAAATAAGATCTTGTGGTGTACATGGAAACCAATTCTCTCAGACATCTAACCTTAACTCTTTTTCCATCACATTAATAAGCAATGTTGTTTTTCTATAAAAATAAAAACTATAATAAAGATCACTGACAAGCAAATCCTAATATTAAAAGTTAGATCCTTATTTAGACTTATCCAAGTTAAACTTTAAACCAATCAAAAATGACTAGAACAAAAAAGGGGAAAAAGTGGAAAACTAGTAGACTTACTGACCCTTTTTCAACATTTTCTTCTTTGTTACAGAGGCAGATGAAGCAAGTGCATGAGCAAATTCTGTATCTTCTTTAACTTTAGATGATCCTGATGAGAAGAAAAATCACTGACTCATAAAAATTCTTTACTCTGCCTCCTTAGACACTTTCTATATTCTGCAACTTGGGAGATTACATTATTAAATAAAAATAGTATTTGTTGAGTAACATTGCCATTTATAACACTAAGCATATCTCTACAGCTCAGAGAAATGATGTGATCATATCCCAGCTATTACTTCTCTTAAAAGAGAAAGCAGGAACAGACAAATGCAAAGGGATTCGGCGCTAAAAAGAAAGCTGTACCAGTATGAAGCTGGCAAATTTCACATCAGTCCAATGGTAACAAGCTTTTTTCCAAATGTAATACAATTTCTCAGCTAACTAGAAAGACAGTATGACTTGAATTAGTAGGAAAATAAAGCATATTTCAAAGATGAAGGAAATGGTATTATTTTTTACGTGTATGTGAATGCTGCCAAGAAGGTACTCCTAACCTGTTCATCACTCCTGTGTGTGTGTGCTTGTGCACACTTGTGTAAAAATAGTTTTATTCAAGTTATTTTATAAGTAGTAGAACATTATATTGTCTAAATTGGTTTAAATATTATTCATTGAAGTTGCATCATTTAATTCATTTAGCACATATGGTAAGCTCATGAAAAGTTCAAATGCAGGGAAGAGTGCAAAAGCAACCAAATTTTATACTATTGCTAAAAATCTTTTAAGCCAATAAGATGTCAATTAGCGATTGTTTTATTTTAAAATTTTTTACATGCAAATTATGTAAGAACTGAGATGTAATATACACCTACCTTTTACTCTACTTTTAGTATATGACTGTGCATTTTTCAGCTTGCCTAGAATAAAACAAAAAACAAAAAATGGACACACTAGGAGATTAGCATATATGACAGAATGTCAAGTCAAGTCATATTACCTTTCATTGTCTGTGGCAGTTCACTAGTTTCCATTTCCTCTGAATCACTGCTTTCAATGTACTGAACAGCAATTTTTCTCCTAAAATTGAAAGATTCAAAATAAAATATAATAAAGCAATGTTTAATAAATGCAACATAGAAATTGTTTAACTCCCATTTGCTTTTTAAAAACCTTTTCCAAAAGAGTCTCTTGTTTGCCAAGCAAAAGTCAAATATGTCTCTTGCTTGCCAAAAGTTTCTTTCTTTTATGACCATATAGCTGTACTTGTAAAATCTAGTATCAACAAGATTACATTTGAAAAGTCATTCGCATAGAGTTCAATGTTCAGTAGTTCAACTAAAACACTGATGTAACATTAGAACCAGAGATGGCAGATGACAGTCACATATAGACTGCTAAATTCACAAAGAAGTAAAGCAGGGACTGTGAGAGCCACTGTCCTGTGAGAGCAGTGATGACAGGAAAACATTAGCTTCAGTAGCAACGAAATGCTGAAAAACAGGACAGGAATGTCCAGAGTTGATTCTAAAGAACTCAAGTCCCAACTGGGACATGCTCTATTCCCCAAAGAGGACTGAGAACAACTAGAAAGGATGGAGGCCTCAGCTTAGGACAAACAGGGCTTCAGATAGTCCTACTCTCAGTACAAGATTATTTATAGAACAGTAAAAGAAGGGAAGGAGGGAAGATAGCATCTGCACAGTCAATTTGTGCAACATCTGTACAAATCCAAGGACAAAACAAAAAAAAAAAACTGAGCCACAGAAAGTACACAAATACCAGCCACATCACTGAGAAGATGTACAGTTCAATCAAACAGGAATTTGTGGGCATATATGTCACATTTGTGGATAGAGCAGAGGTTAAGAAGTCATTTAAAAAGACCTATGTATGCTTTGTTAACAGGATGGTAATAAAAATATAACAGACCATATAGCATAAATGCGACTATAAATAAAAGGCCTAAAAATACTACTATTCTGAAGAGTAGTGTTGTCTGAAAGAAGTAGTTAGCACTCCCCTTGGCAAGGATGGAAGAGGCCTTTGAGCCTAATAACACACATATGGTTAGGCATTGCCACCTACTTCGTGGCATCTAACCACTGTTTTAGCCCGGCATCGGTGGCACATGCCTTTAATACCAGCACTCAGGAGGCAGAGGCAGGCAGATCTCTGTGACTCTGAGGCCAGTTTGATCTACAGAGCGAGTTCCAGGACAGCCTCCAAAACAATTTAGAGAAACCCGGTTTTGAAGAACCCAAATAAATAAATAAATAAATAAATAAATAAATAAATAAATAAATAAATAAAGTGAAGAGTAAGCTTGTCTGTATCGGCTATAGTACACACACTGGCTGCTGTTTGAACACATTTTCCTTGTCATATGTTCATTTCCTTTTATCTGATCTATTCTACTTAACAATGCCATACTACGTAGGCTTATGACTAGTTCAGCTTTTAGATTTGGCATTTAAATATGAAGGAAACCAGGCTAGATTCCAGGGTTAAGAGCACTGGCTTCTCTTTAGAAGACCTAGGTTCAATTCCGCACCCACATGGCAGCTCACAGTGGTCTGTAACTTCAGCTGCAAGAGATCAGATGCCACCTTCTGGCTTCCTTGAGCACCAAACACAAAAGTGGCACATAGACATACATACTTACATACACTTATACACATCAAATAACAAAATGAAAATATTTTTAAATGAAAACTAGTAAGTAATGAGTTTGAGTTCAGTTCAAGAGGGGATTAATGACAGAATCATCAACTAGACCATATTTTGTGGTTACTCCTGAAGAACTGTTGGAGATTTAGACACAAGATCACATCCATGTGCACTGATGGTAGACCACACTATATAAAAAAAAGTCTGGTACTTATACCAGACTTGAGATGGTAAATAAAGCTTATAAAGTTAACAGATTCAAGGTAAGATCAAGCAGGAATAATATCTTTTATCCACATTCTCCCTGGAGTCTAGACTGTGTTAACTCTCCACAAATAATTTTCTGAACAAACCAATAAATGCTATGTTAAGCTTTCCAAACACATTAATTTCATCCCTCAAAATCCAAAGGAAAACTCCTAATGTCTCAACCAGAAAAATCTATATCAACAAAAATTAGGGGGAAAGTGGTAGTAATTATTAAAAATTAGTAAACCACTTATTCTATAGATTAACATTACTTTCACTTTTAAAACAAAAAATAGGATGAGACTGGCAACATGACTTAAGGATTAACAAATTCTTTCTTTTGTCATTGTGATTTAACAGTCTGCCATTAGAAACACAGTACTCACCTCTCTCTTAGAAGAAATCAGAGGAAGTGTATAAATAGACATGCCACGTAGCTTAACACCAACACTTTACCTTTTAGGGCAGAAACTGGACAATTCTGACATAGGATACTTCTTATTCTCCTGAATATCTGAAACACCAGGTTCTTCACTACATCTGGATGGCTCTACTTTAAAGAAACACACAGAATTATCAAATTGTCTTAATAGAGCATCATCGCTCTGTAGAGTTTAGTTTTTCCATAACTAACCTTGAGCTTTAATAACTTCACTACTTTCAAGTCCCCTGGTAGTCCTTCTGCATTTTTCCTGAACTAGTATTTTCCCACTAGGATATATATCCAGTTTTTTATGACCCAATAAAAATGTCTTTTTCCATATCACCCACCAACCCAGAGACTGAATTTACTTCTGCATAAAAAACGCTCAACAACTTATACACACCCAGGAGGACGGTAGACCCTAATAAAACACTAATATAAATTCGTATTTTCAAACCTTCCTTATCACTGCTTAGTCCTCCCAAGCACTGCAAATATACTACTGTTGGCCTAAATTCAAATTCATTTTCTTCCCAGAGAACTTCATTAATTTGCAATGAAAATACGATGGCATTATCTATTATAGGCCAATTTTTGGACCTCTCCCCACCACCTATTTGCTTATTCCCACAAGCTTAAGAGTGCTAACTTATGTAATAACTCTTGAGTTCTCATCTTCTCCCATACGCTTACCACAATTCTCACCCTATAACAAGATCATCATATAAAAAAAGAAAATCACACTCAACTCTACTCTCTGAGAGTGTTTTCTATCCCTTTCTACTACCCCAGTCCTTCCCAGTTCTACACATACTCATCTACATTCTTTTCAGCTTTGTTCTGCTTCAGCAAGTAAAGCATAATGGTCATGACTGCTAAAATCACAGGTTTCTTCCCTCCTTTGACTTCAGAACTGGTTCTGATTTATCTTTCTAGCTTTCTTTGTTTGCGACTATGCACACTGCATTGTAACACAAAGAAGTTCTAAAACAAAACATTTTTTTTTCTTTAAATTGTTCTTTGAAGAAATTTTTCTCTCAATTAAAACCATTTTCCCTAACTGGTAAACTAATAGCCAATTATTTTGACAAAACCTTTTCTGATTACCAATCCTCCCAAAGTTCTTCAGAAAAAGAGATCCTAAATTTTTGTCTATTACAAAACCCAAAATAGAATTATCTTAGGTAAGAAAAACATAAAGTAGTCAGACCATATTCACAATTAAAACTCACGTGTGCTTAGTCCATCTGCCTCTTTGTTAGTCTTACTTCCTCGCAGTTTGACAGTCTCATCCTTGTATTCCTATGTAAAAAAGGCATTTTCTTCAATGGGGTATCAGTTTTAAATGATATTAAGATGAAGTTTGTTTTGTATTGCTTTACTTTACATAAGAAAGACTACTTAAAATGCTAATAGATTTCTTACCATTTTAAAATTGGTGAAAAAGAGGTAAAAAAAGCATCTCAAAAATAAAAATCATGAGAGAAGCTTCTCTCCTACTGATTAGTGTTTATGGAGCTAGAAGGTCTGTGTACACCAGCAGAGTAGAAAAGGAATCATCACTATTATCTAGCTATGAAACCTGCAATCTACAATAATGACACACTTGCAAGATGTACTAGTACAATGACACTACAAATGTTTATTAGAGTAACCAACCACTTTTTAATATTGGATTTAAGGACCATTCCATGAGAAAGAACCCATACTTGGCATTGCTAAACTAGCCCAGAACTTGAAACTAGATAGGTCTTGGGGATTTTTCTAGGGAAAAACCTACTTCTATTGTTCTGCTAAATGAACACAGTAATAAAACAACTCCTAATGACATACTGCTACACCCACATTATCAGTTCATTGCTCAATTCTCATCATAGAGAAATTTCTTCTTGCAGTAGACAGTGGTAAACAGATACAACTTGGAAACATACAAAAAGTGATGGATTTTTAAGGACTCAGCTCGAAATGAGATGTCTTTATCAAACCTCTCTCCTCAAGTCTCAGGGTCTACGTGGAAGAGTAGGCAGAACAATTTTAAGAGTCAAATGACACCAAGGAAACTGCATTTTCCAGACACAACAGGACTGATGTACATTATGAACTCAGAGACTGACAACACACATTCAACCGGACAAAAATCCCAGCATGCGGGGAGGAGAAATAGGCAAAAAGTCCCACCCCCATACAAGAAGCTATTTGCAATTGGTATCTGTTGGGAAAGAGAAAATCAGTTTTGTCCAATGAAGTGACACTAGCTATATAAACCACACTGCAGGACAGGCCCCATGCTCAGAAACAGTTGGCTAACACAAAATGAACTCCATGTTTTTATTGTGGTTTTATCAGTATTTTCTTTAGGTATCTTTTTCTTTTTCTTTCTTTCTTTTTTTTGTTTTTGTTTTTGTTTTTGTTTCGAGACAGAGTTTCTCTGTATTGTTTTGGAGCCTGTCCTGGAACTCGGTAGACCAGCCTTAATCTCGAACTCACAGAGATCCGCCTGCCTCTGCCTCCTGAGTGCTGGGATTAAAGGCGTGTGCCACCACTGCCCGGCGGTATCTTTTTCTTTTCAGTATTTTTTTCTTGCACCACTCCCAGGCTCATCCCCCTTTTTATCTTTTTGTTTTGTTTTGAGAAAAAGAATATGAAGTTGGAAGATGGAAAGATATTGCACAAAATTTTTTAATTCAATAAATGCAAAAAATAAAAACCTTTCCTAGTTAGCTTTCTAGTTATACACTTTGACATTTGCTTAAAATATGAGGAAAAGCAATGAATATAATTTTCCACTATACTAAAAAAGTGAAAATTAGTCTTAATCTTTCCAAATGAGCACAAACATACAAACACGCACACAAAAAAATCTCTCAATTATAGATGTTACTGTGAAAAAAAATTCATGAGATAAGATTCACATTGGATTCCCTATTTGGTAAATAATGTATCTACCATTAGACAGCCATTATCATACTCTCTTATAAAATTCCCAAAGCTAATAAGATACAGCAGTAGTATTTATAGCAGAAATAAATGAATCTGAGATTCTAGTAGCTTAAATAAAGTCCCAGTAAATATAAAAAAAATTTTTTAATTCAATAGTAAGGTCTAAGGAAAAGCAGTGTACATAGAAAGTAAAATATAGAAAGCATCTTTGTGCTGTTTCCTAATTCGGGCTTTTAGAATTTTCAGGTAAGAACAGGAATAATGGTTTATTTCTAATTTCTCTTTTGTTTTCCCTCACTTCCTCCCTCCCATCTGCCAGCAATAATGAGCTCTTAGCTACTGCTCTACTGCCATGCCTGCCTGCCTATTACAATGTTCCCCACCATGATAATGGACTAGCCCTTCAAATCTGTAAGCAACCTCCCAATTGTTTTTGTTGTTGTTGTTGTTGCTTGTATTGTATTTTGTTTTGTCTTTTATTATTTTCTTTTTTTGTAAGCTACCTTGGACATGGTGCTCTTCATAGCAACAGAACTAAGACAAATATAGTAATTACACTCTTTTTCTTTATTTATTTGTGTCTTCTGGGCTTTTTAGTTTGTTTGTTTTTATTGTTGTTGTTTTGAAATAAGGTCTTATTATGTAGCCCTGACTGACCTGGAACTCACCTTGTAGACCACATTGACCGTGTATTCAGAGATCCACCTGCATCTGCCTCTTAAGTACTGGGATTAAAAATATGCATCCCTATGAAAATGGTATTTATGTTTTATAAGCACCATTATAAATGGTGAAAAATCATTAGTCACATCTGAAAAGAATCAGCTATTATTAATGAGCTGTCAACTACTTTCAGTGAGATAGAGATTTCTGGAGTAGAGCATTCTTCACAGAACACACTTACTTTACCTTTCTTGGCTGATTCTTCTTGCTTCTTTTACTGAGAAGAGGCTTGCCATCAGCAAAGTTGGTAAGAATTACTGCAATGGCAGTAAGAGTTTTGCCCTTTAAAATATTTTAAGACAAATGGTTAGATTCTATAACTCATCTAGAAAACATTTCAAAACCTATTTTAAAATAATAAAATACTGAATATCAGTCAAAGCCACAGCATGCATGATTATTAAACAATATAATTGTTAATGAAAAATAAATATTTCATTTAGCTAAGAAAAATTTTCAAGTTATTTATGATTGACTATAAGCATCAGAGAAATGTCATTTTATTGAATGACTACCATTCTACATTGAACTAACACTTTATCATGAAACTAATATTAACAGCTATTTTCAATGAACCTCAGATAATTTAAGATAATGAGGAATTCCAACATGCATATAAAGACAATCGCCTTCATTATTTTCAATAGTAATATATACAGTAATACAGAAATAAAACTAGTACTTTTAAAGAAGTCCTCAAAGTCTGGTCCTCTCATACCCTTTAAGGAAAATGTAAGATAAAAAGTGTTTGTGTGTGTAAGTGCATGTGTGAATATATCTATGGATGGAGGCCAGAAGAATCTCAGTAGCAGTCTTCACACACTGCTACCAAGCCCCTTTTTGAGACTATAATCATATCATCTCTCTTCAAACCCTCCCATAAACTCCTCCTTTATTTTTCAAATTCATGGCCTCTTTTTTCACTAATTGTTGTTACATGTCTATTTGCATACACTCATACACTATTATTACTTGAAAGAATGAGCAACTGTCATTGTTAATGACTGAGTATGTATGATGAATTTTCTTGAAAATAATCAATGTAAGGTGTAAGGAATTGTCTTTAAGGAAAACTACAGTATTTGTTGCAAGGGCTAATTTCAATTTTCAATCAAAAGGTAAAATGTTACAAAATTTGCACATTACAGTATGACTAAAGCAACTGCCAAGGAGTTAACCACTTTTCTCATAAGATTAGTAGTAATGTTAAAGAACATAAACTTTTAATACTGCATGATGAAATCCACTATATGACTCAGCACTACAATTAGTACTTTCCAATGGGCAAGCCTCATCAGAAAATCAATTACAGGTGAAGTATTCAATGCACAACACACATAGATGGATTTTAATGATAACAAATAAGTTAAGTATCATTGCCTAGTGATTACCATCTTTAATGAATAAATAATAAATACTTGGATTTTACTATTTTATTTTAAAAGTTTTCAAAATACTTGTGAGATTAATACTGACTGTCAACTTTACAGGAACTACAATCTCCTGGAAGACAAACCTCTGGACATAGCCATAATGAAGTCTCTTGACTAGGTAAATAAGGCAGGATGAGCCACTCTGTGTGTGTGGCACCATTCCATAGACTGAGGTGATTATCTACCTCCATTTCTGCCTTTTGACTATAGGCACAACATGACCACCACTTAAATTCCTGCCCTTGTACCTTCCAGAACTGAAAGTAAAAAAAAAAAAAATCCTATCTAAAGAGATATGATACTGGGTAATATTTTGGTTTTGATCTACCAAATAAAGCTTGCCTAAAGATCAGAGGGCTGAGATAGCTACTGGTTAACCATAGAAGCCAGGCAGTGGTAGCACACACCTTTAATCTCAGCACTTGGGATCTCATACCTTTGATCCCAGTACTTGGGAGGCACATGCCTTAAATCAGAGCACTAGGGAGGAGGAAACAGGAAGTGAAATTGGGCAGAGATATGATATAAGGTAGTTAGAGACAGGCACTAGCCCCTTTGCAGTCTGAGGATTTCATAGAGATAAGAACTCTAGTGGCTGGCTGCTCTTCTTTGATCTTTCTGCTTTCACCCACTAATATCTGACTCAGGGCTTTTATTAAGACCAATTAAAACTCATGCTACCTGATACCATAGAAATACGAAAAGCAACTAATAATACTTTTCCTTTTATAATATCTGTAAAGAAAAAAAATTAACACAATCCCAACATGTCAAACAAAGTAACAATTTGACAGCTCAGCTGTCACTTTTTCACCTAAACATCAAAACAACTTGTAAAACTAAACAGTGACAGCATTCTCATAAAAGCTGCTATTGTTTAGAATTGTCTTTAAAATACATTACTTACATAAGTTTTTTGTATATTGTTCCTTTTACATATCTCAAGACTACTTTAATGCCTAATACTATAAAAGTTATAGAGCTCAAAGTGACAGCTCTACCACCAAAGTCACAGGAATGGCTATGGTAATCAGTCACAAATATCTACTATGTTGCATACCCAGTACTTGAACTAGAATATTATTTCAAAAGATACTGTCTTCTTTTCTCTCACAGAAAAACTGTTATTAAAAACACCAAGGGGAGTTAAATGTGTATGACAGTAGACAGGACACATGCCTAATATGGTTGAAGCCCTAGATTTTGTCCCCAGGATGGAGAAAGGGAAGAAAGGAAGGGGGCAGTAAGAAAACTGTCAGGGGTGTGAGGAGTCAAAGTTTGGTCCTACAGTTTGGTTCTGAGTAGGGAACCTTATTAACAGGAATATAACCTCTAGGAATGGCGACGGATACTCCTAGAAGATGCCAGTGACCATCATGGCCTTGCCCTACTTGGGAAGTCCCAGGAGCTCCTAAGCATGAGCTCCACCATGAAATATAACTAACTGTCTTCAGCTTACCACTTTCTTGTGCTGCATGTAAAGAGACTGCTCTAGGAGATGGGGCACTGCTTTCTGTCCTCTTCCCCTGTCTACCTTTATCAGGTCTACTGGTCCTGATCCCATCCCCTGTCCCACTCTCTGTGTCTACTTCATTACTGCCAATTCTGAATTTCTATCACACTTGTTATGGCTCCAATCTAACTTGTCACCAAAACTGTCTTGTTTCTTGTGCTACCATCTGACATCTCATGGCTCCTATCTAACTTTTCGGGACTCAGATCAAACTCAGCACCTGCATTATTGTTTCTAAACTTCTCAGCAGACCTAGTGACACTAAAGTTGGGGTCATACAGAGAGTCAGGCATGAAGCCAGTGTCCATATTGCAGTAGTAAGGGAAACTGTAGGCAGGGACAGCCACCTTGTCCTAGCTCAGGTTGGCAGTAGGCCCTCCAACCAGATAACCACAAACTCTATGGCATCATCAGCATAGTCCTGATGACTTCATTCTCTGGTATCTGAGGATGTCTCTCTTGGCCAAACAATCTGCAACAGAAGCACAGCAAGAAACAAACAGGCCAGTATAGCTAAACAGGCTGTAAGAGGGCTGTGAGACTATTGTGCCAATGGACTTCTTTCTTAAAGCACAAAATGAGGTGCAGGTTCCTTAGTGGGAACTAACTAGGTCTTGCCTTACTTTCTACTGTTTTTTGCAATGATGGGGGCTGAATTTGCTATCATTGACCTTTGCTTTTTAAAAACCCCATGAAAGACAAGCTTCCCTGAATTCCAATAAGTAAAGAAAACTGGAAATATATGTTTATATACTCATTAATGTTAATGTATTCTGTTACCCATTTTGACTCTTCTGTTGATTCCATAGAAACCCCTACTTAAAAAAAGTTTTATCTACACTGAGAGCAAAATCTAGTCCTAAACTAGCACCCATCTTTCAAAACATTTCTGTTTACAAAACTGTAATTGCAAACTAAGATTCTTCTAACTGAAGAAAAATGAAAATTACCAAACCCATATCATCAGCTAAAATTCCTCCATGGACATTTTCCGGTCGTTCCTTCTCAGAAAAATTTGTTATTGTGTTATAATATAAGTCATTTCGCTGTTCCCAGAATGGTGGAAGGTCTTTGCTGTTCTCTCGTGAAATCATCCAAGCCAGGGCTTGTTTTTGGTGTGGAAGTAATGGGGTTTCAATAGCCTATAAATACAATGTCATAAAGAGAAATATAGTCAGTCTTTTCTCTTTTCATATGGAGAAACTGGGTTATTTTCGTTCTTTTTACTTTCTTTTTTTTTTTTTTTTTTTTTGAGACTAGGTTTCTCTGTGTAGCCCTGGCTGTCCTGGAACTAGCTCTGTTCATGCTGCCTGTCTCTGCTGTCTGAGTGCTTGGATTAAAGGTATATACCACCTCTACCCAGCATCTAAGTTTTATCTTATAGTATAAAATGTGTAAATTACCAAGACAGTTAATAATTCTGAAGCTTAACATTAGAAATACTGATTTACATTTTTGAGTTCTTTATGTTTTCTAGATATTAACCCCAAAACAGACATGAAACCAGTAGAGATTACATCAATGTCCTAAACTATCTCAGTAGCCCATTAACTGCTTCCTTTACCATGCAGAAGCATTTTATTTTATGCAATACCATTGGTCAGTTCTTAGATTTCTTGAGCTTTTGAAATGCTTTTTTGAAATTGAAATTGTCAGCAAATAAGGAAATGAAGAAAACAAGCATTTCTCAAAAAAGAAAATCCATATAGCCAATATATATGTGAAAGACTGCCCAATGTCCTTACCTATGCACTAAGAATGCATCTCACCTGTGTAAGAAGAGATACCATTTTAAAACAGAAAATGTTCACATGGACTTAGGAGAAAGGGAACTTTTATATTTAATGCTAGTGGAAATGTAAGCCAGTGAAAGCACATCAAAATCAGTATGAAGGTTCTTAGAAAAGCTACAAACAGAACTACCATATAATCCCGCTGTGAGTAAGATCTTCTAAAGTTTAATGTGACATTACAACAGTACCACCAGCAGCAATTAGCCTAGGTGCCCATCAAAAAATAAATAGACAAAAAAAGAATCTATATATTTATACAGTGGAGTTTCATTTGGCCATAAAGTACAAAATTATGTGTCTTACAGAAAAACAGATGGAATTGTACCATTATTATTTTGTGGGAAAGGCCAGGCCTAGAAAGAAAGTCAGACCCATGTTATATATTTTCTCTCATATTGGGAACTTAGGGTATGTGTATTCATATATACATATTAGTAACAAATATGACATGAAAACAGAAGAATAACTACATGAAAATACTCAAGAAAGAAAAGAGAAGGTAATAGGGTATGGACACAATCAATCTCAAAATATAGTACATACCTGAAGAACAATGTTACAAAACTTTATATAAGACATACAGCAATTTTTTAAAATATACAAGTTCTGTACCTCAGATGGCTCCATTTCATTAGTTTTACTATCTTCTTTTAAATCTTCAAATAATTTGTCAAATTCCATTTTGAGCTACAGTTAAAAAATAATTAATACTGAACAAACCAATAGAAGTGAAAATTGCATGTAATTCAGATTTCAAATAATTTTCATTGAGCAAGTCAAATGATCAAGTGTACATAAAATAAGTACCTGAGATACTAAACTCACTGAAAAGCGATGATTTTCCTATAGAAGTAAATGTACTCATTCCAAATGAATACACCAAAGAGCTACAAAGGACCGTGGCTATAGCCTGCTGAGAGAGCACTGGCCCAAGCATTTACAAGGACCAATCCTAATGCTACTGAAAGGACAGTAGTGAAATCATAAGATGCCAGTCACAGTCCTATCACAAATGACCCTGCACATTTGGGCAGAGAACTGTGGCCTGTATCTTATTTTCATAAAGTCAAGAGCATGAAATAAACTGCCAAGGTTCTCTCTTCCATGAGAATTCTATGATTCTATTAGCATTTAAACTATTTTGGGAGACCTACTAGATACATGTAACTTGCTATGTTCTACGAAACAGTAGGATAATTTCATTATTAGGCTAATTTAGCTGATCATTTAAACTAATCTATTATTCCATTTTAAAGCAACTTACACTGTATTGTATGTCTTACTATTTCTTCTACAAATTAGCATATGAATGCATAGCAGTCATATAGAAAACATCATGCCAGCTTATATAAGTGGCCAACGATTTGCCTACCAGGCACAACTTCATGCCCTTTCAACACACAGGGAAAACCATAACTGGGAAATAAAAAGAATACCTCTAGTGAATAAACACATAAAACATTTCAATGCTTATTTCTAAAACCACTAGTGGATAAACAGTCATAAAAATGTTTTAATGTTATTGTCTGAATTATTTATATGAACATTAACACTATACTTTTTTCAGAGTAATTTGGTAAAACAACATACTGGATGACAAATTAGGCAAAATAGGTAGAACAATATTAAAGATTTTAATTTTTTTAAGATTGAATTTGCAACCTTACTAAAGAATGAGAATAATTTTCACATTCTAGTGTTTTTATTACCACTGTGAACATTCTGAAAATTTAAAATACAAAAACACTACATACGTAGTGTGATTTATGTATGTATAATTGCATATGTGAATCCACCCTCCTTTTCATAAATCTAGTTAATCAAAAATAGTGAGTCATATAATGTTTACATTAATACTAAGCCTCTATAGAGACTTCCCTTGTCATTGTTCCCTAAATACACTCTAACTACTATATATCTTTTATATGTATAACAGATATAATTAATTTAGAAATTGTTTAAAATATGTAAGATGTACAGTGATTCTACACAAAAATACCATTTTTAATATGAGACTGGATGGTTCCTGTTTCTGTGAATTATAAGGGATGACTATAGTTCTTATCACTGCTTTTTAAGATTATGTTTGCAAATGAGTATCTCAATTCTGTATATTTTACAGTACTTTTCATTATAGTTTTCTAAAGATCACTAATACCAGCACACACATCTTTATCCTGTTCTTTTAAATAGCAAACCACTAAAAATTTACATTACAGTGCAAAATAAAAGCATACCTGAGGCGGGAATGGTGACAAATGTCTGTAATCCCAATATCTGAGACTCAGAGGTAGGAAGACTAGGAGTTCAAGAATATACTCAACTACATAGCTGTGGTGGTTTGAAAGAAATTTGCTCCCAAGGGGAGTGGTACTATTAGGAAGTGTGACCCTGCTGGAGTAGGTGTGGTCTTGTTGGAGGAAGTGTGTCACTGTGGGTTTTGAGTTCTCATACTCAAGCCATGCCCAGTGAGACAGACTATTTCTTGTTGCCTGTGCAAGACTAGAACTCTCAGCTACCTCTCCAGCATCATGTCTGCCTGCATACCACCATGTCCCACCATGACAATGGACTGAACCCCAAAACTGTAAGCCATATAATTGTTTTCCTTGTGAGAGTTGCTATGGTCATGGTGTCACTTTTGTCTTGGGGTTGCGCAAGTGCTTTTGAGGTAAGTCTACACAAGACCTTGACTCAAGATAAAAATGAGCAAACAACAACAACAAAAGCTTACCTGCTCAGTGGTCATCTGTACTGCAACATGAGCTGGCATATTATAGCTTGGTCCAGCTCTTCCAGAGCTCCAACTACTCTCCAAACTCAATCCTAAAGCTACAGTTTCCAAATGGGAAAAAAAAAGCCAAATAAAAGTAGATTAAGTTCCAGAAATAAACATAAATACAAACAGTATTAAAAATTCCCACAGATCTGGGGGTATAGTTCAGTGGCAGAGTAATTGCCTAGCATGGATAGTCCCCAGAATAGCAAAATAAAACAAAACATAATGTATATAAGTGCTCTACTACTAAACTATATCCCTAGGCCTAAAACTAAATACTAAATCATTCCCCAAAGAAAAAAATTACATTATTAAATAATCACATATTATTTTAATAAATTCTAAGCAAACATCAAAATTTTTTCACTCCCTAGTGAGCAAATCTTCTTGTCTAAAAATTATAAAAACAAAAGTTTAAAATGAAGAATTATGTTAACATTGGGAAAAACTAGACAGGATACATTGACCCTCCTTGTGTATTTTTGTGTATGAATGAATATATAGTTACAAATATGTAGTTCTGTATTTGGACATATAATGATGGGTCTATAAGATTAACTATTTCATTTTGTATGAGTAGTCTATGATGGTTACACAATGAAAATATCAATACATTGATATATTCCTCAGAATCTGTCCTGTTATTAAGTAATACATAGTTGTATTTTAATAGAAATATAAAAAGGAAAGTCGGCAATTTCTTCAAAAGATTCAGAAAAAAGGTTACAACTTAAGAGGACTTTGCAAACATTACTTTAGCCAACCAAGCTCAAAGAGACTAATTTCTTTACAATCCCTACAGCTTAAAATATCAAACTTACTTTTTGGTGTGGGACCCAACTTAAATCCATGTTTCATCAACTGATTTAAAACCACTTTCCTATTTTCTTCTTTTCCCCAAAAAGTCATATGAAGAGGCATGGTAAAAGCATTATTTGCACCGTAAGGAACTACCCTATTATAGTAAGGGGAAAATGAGAAATTAAACATTATTTTATAGCAATTATGAATATATTAAATATATTACTCAAATGCAAAAATGTGAAACAAGAACAGATTATTTAAGCAAATTTGAAAAATTGAAAAAGAAAATCAACAATCAGAAGGAAAAGGCGATTTTTATAACAGGATGTCAAAAGAACTTGACATGACAGCATAAGTAGTTTACAAAAGTTAGCTCACATCCAAGATTGCAAAATAAACAAAATAATGCATCTATCTGAGAGGATAGTTTCAACATCCAGTATTCAGTAAAAATTTATTCTCAACTGAAAAATGTTATAAAGGAAAAAGCAAAGATGATTCCTAACTACTTATTTTATCTTCCAAATCAGCAGGGATGAATATGCTAAGCATCTCCGGATTATGGTATAACTATCCCAAATATTCACACTAAGATCACAAACACAAGGCCTCACAGAGAACAAGCAACCAGAATGAAAACGGGATTGTAACAATAAGAAACAAAATGGTGACGACCCTGGCAGGGCATATGCCCTAGCTAAAGGGCAGCCACTCCCTAAGTCCCAGCCAATGGAGACCACAAGTCAGACCTACCATTTACCAAAAGAAAATTCTTAGTAAGTTTTGACACAGAGATAAAATTATCATATGGAAAATATAGAATATCCTGATTTCATTTCCAGTAAGAAATGAAGCACACTCAAAAATGTCCAAGTGAGCGAAGCATGATGGTACACACTTTTAATTCTAGTACACAGGAGGCTAAGGAAGAATTGCGAGTTCAAGGCCAGGTTGTACTAGCAAAACCCATCTCAAAACAACAGCAGAAAAGATAAAATACCCCACCACCATGAAGTCCCTCTGGTAATGCATGCCTGTCATCCCAGCACTCAGAAGGTGTCTGAGGTGGGAAGATCACCATGTGTAAGCTGGGTATAGCTGCAAGAGACAGGATAAGTATATACTCCCTAGTAGTAAACACAAGTCCGTTTTTCTCCATAGTAACAATTTAGCAACAAAATAAGAGTACAATTCTTTGATGGCTAGAAAGGAAGGGCAAAGAAGAAAACTGAACACATCAGGAAGCACAGTGATGGGAAGTGCCATGACACTTGCAGAGGCTCAGGAAATGCTTACATATTTAGAGACAACTGAAAATCACAACCACTTAAACAACTCTAAAAGTACATACCCTTCCACTTGTGCCAACTTGTTGTCCATGATATAGGCCAAGGCAGCTGCAAGATCTCTCTTTAAATGGCCAACCTGATTTCCATTCACATTATTTACTCTAATTGCATTCTTATCATACGGATTATTAGGCTCTCGTTGTAAAGAAACCATTTCATTATTATTTACCTAGTAAAAATAAGGAACAGATAATAATAATATAAAAATGAACAGTAATAGCTTGACTTCCTTGTAATGTTTCTAGAATTTCCATTCATGCATTGTTGTTAGTTTTTTTTTCCTTTGGTTTTTTGTTTGTTTGCTTGATTGCTCGCTTGCTCGAGACAGGGTCTCACGTATCCAAGGCCGACCTCAAATTGGCTCTGGAGCCAAAGATGATCTTGAGCTCAAGATGGTATTGAACTTTGACCCTTCTGCCTCTGTTTCTTGAGTGCTGAGACTACAAATATGCACTACCACTTCATTTATATTACACTGGAAATTGAACCCAAGGACGTAGTAAACACTACAAAGCAATCTATCAAATGAGCCACAGGCCCAGCTCAAACTAGAAATTCTTCTACATTTGCTAATTTATATTCATTAGAAGCTAATAAGTCTTTCCAATGTAAAAGGTACAGTTAAGTCTACCTTGAAGATTCATGCTACTGCATTTTTCAAAACATCTATTTGTAATGATATATTATTCATGATTGATTAAAGCTTGCCTGAGGATTAAGAAAGCAAAGTCCGCCACAAGCCTCAGAAACCAGGCACACACCTTTAATCCCAGCAGCCAGAAGATAGGAGGTGGTAGTACACACCTTTAATCCTAGGACTCAGGATTAAGAGACAGACCAATCTCTGTGAGTCCAAGGCCACCTAGATCTACACAAGAATGAATCAGTCTAAAAGAGAATTATAGCTCAGACCTTTAATCCCAACATCAGGGAAGTATGGAAGACAGGAGCAAGGTAAGTAGAGGCATTCATTCTCCAGTCACGCTGAGAAGAGGTACAGTCTGAGGCTTGGTGAAAACTTGTGGAGACAGGATCAGCCCATTCAGCCTGAGGTAGAGGTAAGAAGCTAGTGGCCAGCTGCTTTGCTTTTCTGATATTCAGCTTGAAGTTTGAACTCTAATATCAGTCTCTGGGTCTTTTATTAATCCATGTTACAGCTAATCTTTGGAACTATGAGTCCCAAAATGGAATGATTGGGTCAGGGACACATGTGCATCTATGTTCATATTTACTCTATTCATTATAGCTAGGACATGGAAATATCCTTTATATATATCAAGTGATAATAAGTGAAAATGTGGTACCTATATAAAACAGGATTTTATTGAGTTGTAAAGAAAAATGAAATTTGCAGGTCAAGAAACACAAACATTACATGCTCCCAATCATATGTGGATCTTAGTGTCAAGTCTTTAGAGGTATATGTTTAATTTGGAATGCCTATTCGATCCAGGAAACCAGACAGGGACAATGCAGGGAGGGTGCTTAAGAGTGGGAGAAAGAAGTCAGTTGATATGAATGGGAAAAGAGGTTTAAGTTGGGAGAGGGATGAGAGGGCAGAGCAGAGGAAGGGTGAGGAGAGAGGTAATTAACATAATGGGTGATGGATATATGAAAAAAAAGCCACACACAAGTTGTGTGTGTGTGTGCGATTTTTTCACAAATAAAAGAATTTTACTTAGAGTTACCCTATACAGGGGACTATGACCACCCCAGAATCCCTAGTTTACCAAATTTAAAGTTCAGTGTCAGGTATGGGATTCTAGACTTGAAGTTATTCAAGAAACTCCCAAAACAATACAGTGTATTGTCTTGGCTCTTGACGTCCTCCAGAACTTTATGGTAAGACAAATGTGAAGACAGCATACTGGCCTCAGGATCTAGAGAAATGAAGCTGGTACTGACTTATTCCCTGCTGACTAGCTTTCACCGTAAGGGAAGGTGCTATGGAGGCTTGGGTGGGGGGTGATCATCAACAGTCTGACCCTGCTGTGAGCACCGTGAACTGGAGTAAGTACTGGCATAGCAAGAAATGTCCTTAGGTACAACTGTGGCATGAACGCTATAGGAGGAACTAACCGCTTTCTGTTTGGATTTATTATTAATATGTGACTACAATTTATAGATTTACATTTACAGAAAACAAGTATAGAATATATAAAGTAAGCTATGGTATGGAAATTCAGTGCATTTTATTTATTTTTAAAATAATGAAGGCATTACCTACAAATACAGTGGGAAAATGAGCTAAATATTTAATCAACACATATTCTTTGTGTTTTGTTTTATTTGTTTTTCGAGACAGGGTTTCTCTGTGTAACAGCTCTGACTGTCCTAAAACTTGCTCTGTAGACCAGGCTGGACTTGAACTCACACAGATCAGCCTATCTCTGCCTCCCCAGTGCTGGGATTAAAAGTGTGTGCCACCACAGCCCCGCCAATTCAACATATATTCTTATTAGTTAATTAATGTTATAGAGATTATTCTAAGATCAACATAAGTAACTGCTATGGGATTAATAACTATAATCTAATACTTCACAAAACTGTAATTTAGAAAACAATGTAAATTTTGCAATAGTACAAATCTAAAATACAACTCATAAAGGGATGTGAGAACCAAAGAACAGTTACATATTAAATAAGAATGGATTTCTGGGTGTTGGTAGTGCACACCTTTAATCCCAGTACTGGGGAGGCAGAGGCAGGTGGATCTCTGTGAGTCTGAGGGCATCCTGGTCTTTAGAGCTAGTTCCAGAACAGGTAGGGCTGTTACACAGAGAAAACCTGTCTCAAAAAACAAAACAAAACAAGCAAACAAAAAAGAATGGATAGACTACTAAAAGGACTAGAAAAAAGAAAGTATTTCAAGAGCAAAGACTGGAGTAAAATTAACACAAGTCTAAACAAAGCATTTGAAAAACATGGCAAGAAAAATAAATGATAGGGGAAAACAGAAAAATGAAAAATGATAGTAAAAAATATTCAGAGGCAGTAGAAGACACACACAGGTAGTATAGAGACAACAGCAAAGAGATCGAGTCAGAGAGAGGAAGTGAATGAGAGAATATGGAGTCTCTAAAAAAGAAATGACTCTGAAATAAAGCAAACTATAATTACAGAAGTTTTTATGAAATAGAAGGAAACAAATTTATGGAGCAAATACTCTAATGAAACTAATAGACTTTTAAAATAAGAATATCTTTTAATCATCAGGCAAAGAAATTCCAATTCAGTTAAGTGGGAAAGAAAATCCTACCCGCATCAACTTTCACTAACAATATACTGTGCAGCATTAGGATATAGGGAAAAAATATGGATCAAGCATTTTATGTTTAGCCAAACTCTCAAGTAGAAAATGAAAATTATGAATTTACAAAAACTCAAGAAATAATTGTTCTTTCCTGAGTAATCTCCTAGATGGCACATCTTATATAACTACTAAACAACATGGTATGTTTCAACATAAAAAAATACAGAGAATGAAAAACAAGACAAGACAAACGGGAAACACAGAATCCCCCCAAAGTATCTCCTGATAACTTATTTCAATTTAAAAAAAAAGTTCTGAAACCATCAAGTGCTCAAAAGGCTGAGGCAAGTGGACCACTGTGAGCATTGTAAGTTCACTATGAGTTCAAGGTCAACCTGAACTACCTTTCCAGGCCAGGCTAGGCTATAGAGTCAAACTCATCTCAAACCCCTTCCCCCAAGAACAACAAAAAAACCTTTTAACAAGCTTTAACATAAAGATACAAGTGAAGGGGAAAAGTAACAAATACAGACCTTTTGACACACAGGTATGTAACAGGAAACAAGAGTGGGCCTTACAGCCCTAAAGGCCGAAGATAATGCATTAACCCTGTTTTGATCCTTATAAAAATAACAAAAACATTTTTAACAATCAACAGAATCTAATTACTGATTGCTATGAAAATGAAATATAAAAGCTGTTTCAGATATATTTTATTTTTAATCATGTATATATGTATATTCTATACCGGGGTTATGTATGAGTACCCATCTATGCCACAAGAGGGCATAGGACCTCAGGACTGTAGTTAAAGGGAGTTGTCAGTTGCCAGGCATGGGTGTTGAGAACAGAGCTCCAGTCCTCTGCACAAGCAGCCAAGTGTTCGTAACTGCTGAATCAGCTCTTCAGCCCACAAACTGCATTTTAAAGAAATATATACTGAACTATACTAATATAAAATGATACATTTAGTATTTGTTTTTTACAAAGATCAAAGGAAAAAATAAAATATAGAAAATACTTGCTAACCTCTGACTTACTCTAATTTTATATTTGAAATTTTCTCACGATCAATTGGATATTAGAAGTATCATCCAAATAACAAAGATGGCCATAATGAAGATTACTGTGCAGAATATATATAGTCTCAATCTGTCCTCTTTTCTTTTTCTCATGCACACACATGCACACACATGCACACACACACACACATTCAATTAGAGAACAGGAATAAATATGAAGAAAAACAGGGGTTAGTCTATTGCAAAAATAAAGAACTCAAAAGTAGATAACCTATCTAGTAAAAATTGATGGATTTGAAGTTGCTTCCTAAATTCAGCATATATTTTCTGCACTGGGACAAATCATTTAACCATCTACATCTCTATCTTCCATTGAGGAAGAGAGCCTCAGTAACTATAAGAATCAATGACAGTATGGACAAAAGTACTTTATATACTGTAAGCATGGTACAAACGTAAAAAATTAATCAAAGATGGCAAAGGTATTTACAACAAGACTTTGAGTGCATATTTCAGTCACTCAAAATAAAACATTAATTATAAATATGTGTGTATCACCATTTAATATAATTTACTGTTAAAACCATGAGCATATAACAATTTTATTTAGAATCTACTCTTATACTCACTACTCCTGTGTAATAGCGAAGTCCAACAACTTGACCTCTCAAAGTTCCAAATAAAATGGGATCTAGCTCTTCATCACTAGTTAGGAAGTCATCTGGAGGAATAACGTCTTGGAATTCAAAACGTGGAAGGAAAGTTGGGTGTGAAAGTCTTGAAAAATTTCCATGGGTTCCGTACTGGACAGACTGAAAATACTTCCAAACAGGATCCCTATTAAAAAAAATAAAAACAAACAAAAGGCACATTAAAACAACAGAACTTAACCAATTATTTCTCAAAGAACACAGTCAAATAGTATTTTCAGGGCAATCATTTCCTTACAATTTATTTTAGCAAGTGAAATGTTATGAGGCAAATACCAGGTAACAATTACCCTGGCTAAAGCAAGAGCTGAGTGAGGAATGCTACCAGGATAATCTGACCTGTGAAATACTGGAAATTCTTTCCTGGGGAAATTTACACTAAAATGTCAAAAATTTCCATGCCAACTAATGAAGAAGGGATTTAAAACCAAATTACCATTGTATCTGATTTTTTTTTTCCTTTTTGTTTTTTCGAGACAGGGTTTCTTTGTGTAGCCCTGGCTAACCTAGAAACTCGTTCTGCAGACCAGGCTGGCCTTGAACTCAGAGATCTGCCAGCCTCTGCCTCTTGAGTACTTGGATTAAGGGCATGCACTGCACCGTCTGGCTATGAAAACAGCCTTAACCTTTGACATCCAGCATTCACTGCTTTAACTCTTTCAGAACATCTATCTAAACTATGACATCATAGGACGCTGACCTGCAGGCCCCTTGCCTATCCATCACCCTGTTATTTTAAGGGTAACTTCAATCTTAAGGATAATTATTGCAGGGATGGGCATAAGAACCGCTGTCGATGATTAAAAGTGATGCTTGCTGGAAGCCTTCTGGAAGTCGTCTTTCCCCTTCAGCTCCTCTGCAAACACGCGTCAGCAGGCTTGTGCTCGTCTCCGTGAGACACCCAGAGTCAGGGCTGTCTCGGAGCTGTCACAATAACAATTCCCAGCGTACGGGGGGACAACAATGCCTGGAGCACTGTGGGGAGCTAATGGGTGTTTTGATGAATAAAGCGCTTCGGGTGGAGCTTCGGACCCCCACAGTCGGCGGTGGAGATTTCCCGAGGTGCTGGCAGCAGATTCTCGGGTGCAAGCGACCCGCAGAAGGAATAGGAGCCGCACGGATCGGCCGCCGGCAGCGGGGCCCCGGGCCTCGCGCCCCACCCCCTCAGCCCTTCACCTCTTGAACATCCAGGACATGGCGCCGGGCGGGGTGACCTCGGGATGCCCTGGGCGCCCGGGCTTTCTCAGGCCGCCTGAAACAGTCCCTCAAGGTCTCGCGGCCCAGGGACCGGGAACCAAAGCCGAACCGCGAGGGAGCGACCCTCGAGAGAGAAGCCGCCGCGGGTTTATTTAGAAGTCGACTCCCACCACCTCAGCAACAGTCTGGGAGGCCAGTGACGTCGTGTGATCGGCACCGCGATTGTCCAATCGAAATGAAGACCCTGTGAATACCAACCAATCAGGACATTGGAGGGTGGGGAGCGCCGCCCCATGCTGCGATTCAAAGGCAGTGGAGTGTCGGGGAGGTTCCATCCGGGTTCTCCCGCGCCCCGAGGGTGGTTGCGCGGGAAAACCTCGAGGTCTTTCAAGTGAGCCTCTTGGCTTAAGGTTCCCTGCTGGATGTTGAGTAAAGGCTTCTTCCAGCCACTGCCCAAAACCATAAAGCTGTCCCCTTAGGTCGGACCCTCCCCTAGCCCACCTTATCTGATATAACGCCTGACTGGGCCTCCCCTAGAAGGAGCTCTGCACGGGATGCCTGCCTCATTTCCTCTGAGATGCCCTGACCATATTTGTAATTTGTAACCTCGGTGTGTGCGAGACCCTGAACCCTGGAAATCTGAGGAAGAGCATTAATTTCCCTCTCTCACCTTATTTTCTTGTGTTTAAAGAAATTTTTATCACTCAGTAGAGGAAAGCCAAAAATAGAACAACCTGAGGATTCTATTGCTGAAAATGGTCCAGCACTGGTGTAAGGTGAGGTGGCACTGAGGCCACTTGTGTTTTTCTCAGGACATTGAAGGAGACACTGTAAGGAAACTTTATAATCTAAAGGAAAATTAGGCCTTAGGGTTGTGTGTGCATCAGTAACAGCCAAGGTAGAGACCACAAAAAAACGCTATTGAAGCAGTCTTTTAATTGTTGCATCTTCACCTGCACCTAAACTAGGAAGCTAGGGGTGGTGCTGAGCCAAACATACATAATGTGGTATGCTGTAAACCATTAGAATTGCTAGAATTATTAGTAAATGTTTTCACCACTGACAGTCATCCTTCCTAGAGAAGTCCATTTTATGTTTCCATTGGCATAGTGTGAAAGGTGGGTGGCTTGTGTGTGTTCATTGTCTTAAATAATAATGATCTGTGCACCAGCAATGGAATGAGAGCATTTCAAGTGGACCACTGGCATGGCACCCTGGGAAATACTAATGTCAACAACAACAACAAAGAACAACAAACAGACAAAAAATTCACTTTAACAGGCTTGAAAGGCAAATATCAGTGAGCATGGCCTGAGAACAGAGATTTAGATCACCCCAAATGCTATGTTCCAATGGAAGATGTTTGGTTAAGTTTTTGTGCTAACAAAACAAAGAACGCTGTAAATCAAGACAGTTTTCAAATACATTGTTGGGACCATTAGGCAGGTGGAAAACAGTATAACAGGAAACCTCTCTCTTATGTACCTAAGGTGCTGACATTATCCTTAGCTTTTTAGTTTATTGAAAAGTAGTGCTGCCTATACATCCCAAATGATTTACTGGATGATCATGAAAAAATGTGTTTAATACAAAGGAGAGCAATAAATGGTTATTAAAAAGGCTAAAGGTGGACCGAGATCATTTAGGTCTAGGATTGCAGCATTCTAAACACTGTACAATCGTAGCTCAAAACAGTTTATCAACCTTGCAGAAGATTCATTTGAAGGTCTATCATCTTTCCTGTAAATTTGTCTATATTAAGCAGACACTCTTCCACTCTAGCTCCAACTGATAGAATCTGAAGCATGTAAACAGGAAAAAAGTAAAGATGATGATGACTTCCTTTTGGGTATTGTACTTTCTTCATGATGCATTATAGTACAAAGGACAAAGTTTGGATTTTTTTTCAGTAGTGGGTACTGAATGCTAGGGCCTGCACAGTGTGAGCAAACTGTCTACCAGAAAGCTATATCCTCAGCCTTTATTTTACTTTTATCTTTGTGATAAAGACTTAGTTGCCCAGGCTAGTCTTGAACTAAATGTAGATCCCAGGTCAACTTTGACCCTGAGGCATAACCCTCAGCCTCCACAGTAGCCTGTATCATCAATCACAGCTAATAGCATTTTATATGTAAAATGAATAAAACCATGCTCATTGGCCTAAAAGATAAAATTCCATATAACATGGTTCTTTCTAGACTTGGCAGCTTTTTCTATGGAAAACAAAACCCAATCCTCAACAACAAAAACAACCCATTGTCAACTTCAGCATTATCTTTCAGCTATAAAACCAATATATTTACTCAAGTAGTCATGTAAAAAGAAGCCCTATACAACTTATTTTTCCAAAGAGGCTGCCATTTATATATATATCATATATATATATGCATATATATCATATATATATCATTATCACCAGAGGAGTCATCTGAAAATTGGACTCAAAGTGTGATACAACAATGCTTCCTTAGCTACTGCCCAAATAATATGTAAATGTATAGATTCATGTTTGTATAGTATTTATCCATTAAAAATATGCCATATAATTTTCTAATTATGCTATCTATTGCCAGATGCCTAAAATGATTGATATTTGATGTTTGACAATTACATGTTGAATAAATAAGACAGAAGGATTTCTCTGGAGGCTGAGACTAGCTGAAAGAAATACAGAAGAGTGTGATGGAACAAGACACCCAACAATTTCTTGTAACTTCAGTGTGTATACCGCTGCATGAATGAGCACACATAATATCATACATGCATTCATATACACATACAAACACAGAAAAAGAGCCAAAGAGAATAAGAAAAGAGAAAAAATATTATTTATTTTCAAATGTTTTTTCTTACATAATTAGGTACCAATTCCATGACAAAGTGCTGGGTAAACCATAGCAGGGAGAATAAAACAGTGATAGAAAATTAATGCTGAGTATTGTTTTGCTTGGTTAATTGGTATCAATTTTCAACAATGGATGATGGAGCTGGAGAGATGGCTCAGCAGTTAACAACACTGGCTGCTCTTCCAGAAGACCTGAGTTTAAATCCCAGCAACCACATGGCAGCTCACAACTGTCCATAACTAGACATAAATTCAGGTAAATCACCAATGTATCTAAAATAAAAGTAAATAATTTTTTAATTTGTATTATTACCTTTGATATTATCCTTGTGAAATGAGTTATTCTAACGACTCATTCAACCTATGATGAGGAATACGGTTGGTTGAGGTCTGGGATTGAAGGAGTACATTACCACACCTGCCTCAGCAGCAGCACCACTCCAAGTCTACCTTTGTACAGAAATGTAAATGGAATTCTTTCCAGCTGCTGCCATGACCATGCCAAAGCTTTTCTCTTTTACCTAATAAACACTGGAGAGATTGGTGGGCATTTTATGCCAAGTTTGTGGCTAAATGATTAAAAGAAAATGCTTTCTTTTTTTCCATTGTATAATTTTAGCTTATTGTCAAAATCAGGTGTTCATAGGTGTGTGGATTAATATCAAGGTCTTTGATTATGTTAACTGATAGTGATTTGAAGTGTAAGTAGTAAATATATATCAACCCAACTAATCATTTGCTGATTTTATAACGTTTTCAACTAACGTTGGACCTTTCAAACATTGTTAGGTAAAGTGGTGGGTTAAAGAGAAATAGAGGCTATAATGGGATCCCTAAGGAGTACAAACCACTGCTGATAAGGGTTTATTTAGCAAGCAGGCAGCACAGTTAGCTCTTCAGAAAATTCACACGACCAGAAAGCAACAATAGTTGACCAATCGAGAAATTTGTGAAAAATCAAAGGAAAGACTTACTCATAAAATTATCACAGGCATGGGGGCCCACTCCTGAACCCCAGTAACTGAAAAGTGAAGGGAGAAGATTTACTAACTAGTTGAAGGCCATCTTGAGTTTACATAGGGGCCTTATTACAAAACTAAAACAAAAAGTGAGTAATTGGGTATGGTGACACATACTTTTAATCCCAGCACTCAAGAGGCAAAGCAAAAGGCTCTCTACAGTTCAACCAATCAGATTCATTTGTTCCTTCTGTTCTTAGGAACAGTTATAATGTTTCTAAAACTCTAAAGATGCACAAAGATTATTTCTATGATTTAAGGAGGAGAAGGGTCAGCTATTGCAAAGTTCTAAGTTCCCATAGGGCTTGGGAATCTGAAGTTTTATTCACCCTACAGGTAAAATGGAGTCTGAAGTCAAAATGGCAGTACTCAGGCCAAGGTGCTTTTGCCTGCTGCCTTCACATGAGAGATGTAGAAAGTCCTTATCCATCTTGGTGTTGAACATTTCTTCTCTTCAAAGAAATTCAAGTCTTGAAACAAGCATAATAAAATATTGTTTGTTATTCTCCCAATGAAAAGTAATTGTCCCAAATGTCTGCACTCCAAATCCTCATTCCCAGTTTCCTAGTGTAATTTTCTCCAGACTTGAGGTTCAACAGTGAGAATGTGGGAAGAAGACACCTGATGTCAATTTCAGGCCTCCACATGCATGTGCCCCACATACACACCAAAAGAAAAATGAGAAACTAGAGTAAATGAAAATAATGGGAAATTTTAGATTGAGGACAGAAAACTAAAACCATATACTTTGGGAAATATCTTACAAAATTTGTTTGCATGAGTGAATGAAAGACCTCTGTGTGGGGGGGGCTGTATGTGAGAGAGTGAGACACAAAGAGAAAGAGAGAAGGGAGGGAGGGAGGGAGGGAAATGTTTGTGGTTTGTGTGGTTACATCACTTCGTGCATGTGTCTATACCCATGGGTATGGAAGCCAGATGTCAATGCTGAGTATATTCTGCTATCTCCTACTTTATATTTTTAGAATCTCTCATTGAACAGAAGACCATTCTTTGGGCTAGGCTACGGTAGTGGTTTGAAAGTAAATGGCTCC